AGCCATCTAACATCAGCTCAGGCCATTTGTTCATCTAGCTCAGTATTGTAAGCTGTGATAAGAAGCAGCTTTCTAAAGCCTCAGACTTTGTTGTTGTTTAGTCGTTTAGTCGTGTCCAACTCTCTGTGACCCCATGGACCAGAGCACGCCAGGCACTCCTGTCTTCCACTGCCTCCCGCAGTTTGGTCAAACTCATGCTGGTAGTTTCAAGAACACTATCCAACTATCTCGTCCTCTGTCGTCCCCTTCTCCTTGTGCCCTCCATCTTTGCCAACATCAGGGTCTTTTCCAGGGAGTCTTCTCTTCTCATGAGGTGGCCAAAGTATTGGAGCCTCAGCTTCACAATCTGTCCTTCCAGTGAGCACTCAGGGCTGATTTCCTTAAGAATGGATATGTTTGATCTTCTTGCAGTCCATGGGACTCTCAAGAGTCTCCTCCAGCACCATAATTCAAAAGCATCAATTCTTCGGCGATCAGCCTTCTTTATGGTCCAGCTCTCACTTCCATACATCACTTCTGGGAAAACCATGGCTTTAACTATACGGACCTTTGTTGGCAAGGTGATGTCTCTACTTCTCAAGATGCTGTCTAGGCCTGTCATTGCCCTTCTCCCAAGAAGGAGGCGTCTTTTAATTTCGTGGCTGCTGTCACCATCTGCAGTGATCATGGAGCCCAAGAAAGTAAAATATCTCACTGCCTCCATTTCTTCCCCTTCTGTGGAAGACAGGAGTGCCTGGCGTGCTCTGGTCCATGGGGTCACGAAGACTCGGACACGATTAAACGACTAAACAACAAATTGAGATTTTTAGCATTATTTTTTCATAGTTTTTTTTCCATAGTTGGAAGGAACCCTAAGGGCCATCTAGTCCAACCCTCTGCAATGCAATCTGACTAACAGAAGGGAACCACACCAGTTTTTAACATGCAAAATGAAAGCAGCATAATTTTGTTTAAGGCATAAAATGTCCCAAGGGTTCTTCTGCTTCTGAGTTAGGGTGCCCTATTTTGACGGATGATGCAGTTGTAATCATCCAAGTTGCATCTGCTTGAGGTGAGGTGAAATGAAGGGAAAAGATGGGGAGATGCACCAAAGTTAGCCTCAAATGTGAATAACAGCCCCTGAGATACTTTGACCTTGGTTGTCATGCCAACAGATAGCTCTTCTTCGCTGAAAAGCCATATTCACCCTTAGGGATGGGTGGAGAGTGAGTAGGTTTTTTGTCTGGGTTTATGAGCTGCTCATCACAATAGGTTGCCAGAGCCCTTTGTGTGAAGCTCAAATGCTTGGGCATCAAGTGTCTTGGAGGCCTTGATGCCCTTCAGAGCAGCTTGCCCTGAATGCTTTCTCCACCCCCTCTAAACTTTCAACTGGGGCAGAATGTTAATGGCCCAATCCCTCCAGCTGGAAGCAGGTTAACAAAAGCAGCCAGTAACATTTGCCTTCCCCAAAACTGAGGTACAGATCCTGGTGGAGGGGGTGGGGGAGGCTCCTTGGTCAAAGGATTGGACAGTTCATTGATCCCAGATAAAGACCCAAGTTGGGTCGATTGCCCTCTTTGCAAACACAAAAAAAGTTTATTATCTAGTAAGAAATGAATAGGTATCTGGTTGCTTAGATTATTGATTGATTGATTGATTGATTGATTGAATTTATATACAGTTAGATGCCGTTTAGATGCCGTTAAGTGGACATTCAGAGTGTCACAGTTTCAGCAGTATTCAGTTACATGTTGGAAAATCCAGGCTGCACAATTGCAATTGATTGGGAGATCTTGCATAACACAACTCATTTCCTCTAAAGACCTGGTTTATTTGTTTTTGTAGCAATTGGGAAATCTTGCACAACACAACGTGTTTCCCCTAAAGACCTGGTTTATTTGTTTTTGTAGCAATAAAGAAAGTGACAGGGAAATGCACTGGGAAGTGTGGGATAACGCTTGCTTGATGCAACATCATTTAACCTTGCAGCAAACTAAACAGGATGAATGTTACATAAACACGTCATCTGGAAGTGCCCATAATCTCATTTATACGCCTGGGTGTCATAGTTTGCTGGAATATGAGATGTTGTTTCCTTTTGTTAGCAAAAACAAATCATAGTTGTTCATAGCATCTCCTTATCTGAATCATACTCTTTTTTTCTCTCAGGACAATATGCCTCTTTACCACAGTGGAAGCCCAACTGTCCTGTAGTTTTGCCTCACCCTTCTCCCCTCTCTCTGCACCCAGAGAAAAGCTGAATGGAGCATTTCATTCTTCATTCCTGCTTTGTCACCACATCCACTGTTGTTTGGGATGAGGAATGGTTTTCCTCCTCCCGTCTCCCTTTCATATAGAATCTGTACACAGAACCCTTTTATGCAGTATTGATGGGACTGCATGGGATGCTGAGCTGGCCGATGATCTTCCCACCCTTTCAGAGGCCATCAGGGGACATCTATGAACACAAACTTAAATGTCTGTAGATTCTGAAAGTAAAAGAAAAATCAAAGACAATATGGCTGGTGCTAAGCAAATGCACAACAGATTCCCAAAGCCACAAGTATGAGATCACTTCTTTATGTGGTGTGGCTATATTACAGTAGAAGCTGCTCTTCCTAGTTCCCTGTTGCCTACCCTGATGAGCTATAAGGAAGACTTAAGGCTGCAGCCCTAAACAGGTCTACTCAGGAGTAAGTCCCATTCAGTTCAATGGGGCTCTACTTCCAGCTAAGAGGGTTTAGGATTTAGCACTTGTTGTTTAGTGCACTGTAGCCATTTATTAGACCACACTTCCAATCTTATTAGTGTTTGACTGGAGGCTGTGACCCTGTACTCACTTATCTTGGAGTAAACCACATGGAACTCAAGAGAGACTTTCTTCAGAGTGGTGTCATTCATTAACCACAAAGCAGGTGTAATGCAGGTATCAGTTTAGAATGGAGGACTTAAAGACCCATTCACATTTATTTATTTTAAAAATTTGTATACTACCCTATACCTGTAGATCTCAGGGCAGTTCACAACATAAAATTGCAATATAAAAAACACAAAATGCATAATAAAAATAAGAACAAAAGGCCTGGTTGACTTTCAACCAGTCCATGACGGAGGCAAGACAGTGGGCCAGCACATCCACTGCCTCACCTGCAGATGCAAAGGAGAAGTGGAGATGTGTGTCATCAGCATATTGCTGACAACATACTGCACACCTCTTGATAACCCCACCTAGCGGCTTCATGTAGATGTTAAACATCATAGGGGATAAAATTGAACCCCAAGGAGGGTTCAAACCCACACAGGGCCAAAGAACACTCCCCAAGCAACACCTTCTGGACCCCTCCATCCAAGGAGGACCAGAACCACTGTAAATGCTGCCACCCACCCTTAACTCAGACATCCTCTCAGAGGAATACCATGGTTGATGGTATTGAAAGCCACTGAGAGGTCAAGGAGGACTAACGGGGGCACATTTTCCCTGTCTCTCTCCCGACAAGAGGTCATCGTACAGGGTGACCAAAGCAGTTTCTGTGCCAAAACCCTGACTGATATGCACCTAGAAAATCAGTTTCCTCCGAGAGCACCTGGATCTGGTCCATGATCACCTACTCAAGAACCTTGCCCAGGAAAGGGAGATTAGCAGCTGGCTGGTAATTACTTAGATTTTCGGAATCCATTCAGTTTTCCAAACCATTTGCACATGAATCCTCTCACCAGATTATTATAGGAGTAGATTATGCATCCAATGTGATCAGCACCTCTGCAATCCTGTGAATGGCAAGGTTATGAAATCCAGGTTTCTCTTGATAGCAAATGACCAATCTCGCTTTCCAGTGGCATATTCACATATGTTATCTTGGTGTGGGAAACATCTTATAACAAGGAAACATATTGTGTTTATAGGCACTGGGTGCCTTCTTAGATCAGTGCAGCATTAAGCACAAATTGGGGGGGGGCAGTTTAACGTTGCTGTTGTTGTTTTTGCTAGGAAACTCTGATGAAGTGAATCATAGTCCAGGAAAGCTTATACTGTAATACCTTTGATAGCCTTTAAGGTACCACAAGATTCTGTTTTGTTTTGAAGTCAAGGGCATCTTACTGCTATCCACTAGGAAAAGTAGTTCCCTACATTCTTATCACTGCTTTGACCATTTGATGGAGTGCCCAAACAGGGAAATAGTATTCTGTACCGAGATCTAAGTAGGACGCCATCTCTTCTATTGATGACCCTGACCCTGAGCTGCTGACAGTGTTCACACATTCAGTGCCAGCCCTGAGTTACTGTCTGTAAAATCCTGGTGCTGTTCATGTCATGGCCACATTAATGAGTTAACTAATCAATACACCACTCACATACCAAAGTGGCTTTTAAGCGGTTTCTTAGCAGCCGTTTTGGCATTCATATCCTTGTATAAGTCATTGATTCGCCACCAAAATATGACATGTAGTTCTGTGCTTAATGGTACCAAGAAGCACAGATCTGAAACCAGAAGGTCAGAAGTGCATCTTGAAAATTATGATTAGAAGGGGCATACCAGGGCTTTGGGCTGAGAGTTGCATAAAGTAGCTAAATAAAATACAGAAAAATAAGTTGTGCCAGCAGTTGTGGAAGTCCTCCCCACCCCACCCCCTAGTTTTATACCCACAGCAACCCTGTGAGGTAGATTAAGCGAAGAGATAATAACTGGCCCAAGGTTACCCAGTAGCACCATGGCTGAGTGGGGATTAGAACCCAGGCCTCCAGGACCATAGTCTCTAGCCTTCCAACCACTGTGCTACAGTGGCCTGCACCATGGTGGAGAACTTTGGCTGCATTTCTGGATGTGACCTGACAAGCAGAAAGCCAGCAGGTGGGTCTGGGTGGAGATCAGTGCTGTCTAGATGGGTCTTTCCCTTTCCAAGGCAGGCTGAGGATTTCCCCCGCTCCTCCTTCTCCCACTTATGCTGCAGGGGCTGGGGGGGGGGCTGCTGTTGTAACCCGATCTGGCAGACAATCTCACTCTTGCTTCTCCGCCTTTCAGCTGCCAGAGGTTCAGAGTCCAGCGCCTGCAGAGGAGAAGAGGCAGCTGCTGCTATGATCCAGGCACTGGTGCTCCTGTTGCTGGCTGGAAATGGAGCCTCGGCTACCAGCACCAATCCGCGTTTGAAGCTCTCCTTTCATAGTAAGGCGGACATCAAACCAACAGAGGGGATGGATGAGAGTGTGTGTGTGTGTGTGTGTGCGCGCGCGTGTGCGTGCGCACGTGTAACATTTTCAGAGGAGGTGTGAACCAGGAACGAGTGTTACAGGGGATCTCTAGGGTTTTGAATGGGCAGTCCTCCATAGGTGATGGGGCCATCAATAGGATGTTATGGACAATGTCTTTCCATAGAGCAAAACTCAGAAAGACAGGTTTTGAGGTGGTAAGCAGAGAAGCAGAGTTTATGTTTGTGGAGGGAAGGGGTTGATGTGACAGCTACGAATATGTTATATTCTGAGTGTTTCCATCTTATGATACCCACCTTGCCACTCCTTCAGGGCTCTACCTGCCTCCTATAACATAAGTGATCTTTACAGAGACACACAAGGTCATGGAGAGCTGTGTATTATTATCCTGATGCTCCAAATTGTAGCTGGTGCACTCAGTGTCCAGGCTGTGCTAGGAGTAAGGAAGTGTGGGGCATTTAGAAAGGCACACTCTGTTACTATCAAATCAGGAAGAGTTCTGTTCTTTTAATAGTGAGATGAAAATGGATCCTCCTCCTTCTCTTCTTCTTCTTCTTCTTCTTCTTCTTCTTCTTCTTCTTCTTCTTCTCCTCCTCCTCCTCCTCCTCCTTCTTCATCTTCTTTATCACACTCATGTGTAGCTAGAGACTCTGTTTCCTTAAGTTTGCAACACTGCCTCAGATTTATGTGCTGGTGTCATTGAGGTCTGGCTCTGATCCCATATGTTGTGGGGATATGTTTCTTTCAAGTTTAGGAAAGAGATGCGTAAGGACTGTCTAATTATGAACATTTGGGGGGAGGGAAGCCAAAATAGAACATTCGTTCGTGTCTATATAACACCACAAATTAAGTGGCTGTGCTAATACTTTACAAGTTTTAAATGACCAGAAAGAATCTGATAAATATTTGATAATGGGCAACAGTACAAGTACATTTTTTTTAAAATAAAGGACTAGACCGATTATTGGCTAACAAACATATTAAAAGGCTGTTAACCAAAATACTCAGATTGTATAGCTTAGGAGTGGACTATTTCTCTGTGTGTTTTCATCTAGAACCCCTGTGATGCACCAATGGATTTTAATATATGAAGTAAGAGAGCATGATCAGGATTTCTTAACATTAAGGCATAGAAATTAAACTTTAAGTAATCCTGAGCATGTACTCTTGCTTAAAAACATATAGAGCCCCTAGCTGAATGAAACAGGCTTTTTATTATGTATTTTAATTAGTGAAGGTTTAATGCTCTGATGGAATTGTTATGGCATATTTTAATTTCATGTGTGGATTTTCTATAGTTGCAAACCACTTAGAAGCCATTTGGACATATAAATGGTATACAAATTAATAATATTACCATATTTTTCTGTGTGTAACACGACTCCATGTATAAGACAACATTTCCCTTCTACTGCTGCAGCACCAGCCCTTGCTTACTTAGCATATTAACCCATGTATAAGACGACCCTCAATTTATCACAAAAAAATTCAGAAAAAAAGGTCATCTTATACATGGAAAATATGGTAATAATAATAGGTCAGCAGTCTTTGCAAGAATCGCAACAAGCAGCAAAAACTACTAGATAGTCAACAGCAAAATGGACTTGCAGTCCATTGGTGGAACACAAAGTCCAACTTCTGCCACACACTCGTGCACACAACTGTGGCCCTCAGGGTCTCTTCCAACTGTACAATTCTATGATTCTGTGAAACATGCCCCATTCATTAGTCTGCTGGAAGTGATGAGCAGGGACTAAAATACCCTGTTAGTGTTTGAGAATGCTTCTTTTCAAGTAACTGGAAGTGTTTTAGCTATTAGATAGTCCGTTAGTATGATAAATAGACTCTGTACTTATGTGAAATAAGATACAAAAGCATCTCTCGCTAAGAGGGGAAGAAATTCTCTCATGCACTCAGAGATGATATCATAGAACGTTGCCCTGGAATGGACCACAGAAAGTTGTCTAATTCATTTGCTTGATTTTTAAGGAAAAGCAGATCCGACAAATTGTGTCACTCATTGTTGATACATCTAGTAATGAGGCTGTACAATCATCATACCTGTCAGGGGCTCAGGGACTGAGCCACAGGAGAAGGAGGAGATGGAGAGCGAAGGGGAACAATCGGAGGGGAGCGCAGGAGGGTGTGACAGTGACCAGGGAGATTCCCTGAGTCTCTCCAGCGAATCAGAAGATTCCCAGAAGGAGGCCCCCAGGGTCAGGGCAAGGGGGGCCAGTGGGGAGTCGCCAAGCGGCAGCTGGAAATCAGGGGTAGCTTCCCCACCAGAGCGCAGCGGGGGGGGGGGGGAATCCCACAGATTAGAACAAAAGCCTCCTCCTGCAGGAGGAGGGAGTGAGGCAGGACTGACCACGCCTCCGTCAGAGAGTGGAGGGGCAGAGGAGAGAGCAGGGCCATCCAGCCTCCCGGAAGGAGAAAGCAGTGAAGGGAGCAGTGTAGCCGTTAGGAGGAAAGTGGGCGGCTGCGCGCGCGCGCCAAGTTCAAAGGTAGAGGCGCGAGGGACAGCAGAAAATCCGGATTGGGAGCCAGGTCCCAAAGCCCGCCGGAGACAGGGGGAGGAGTCAGAAGAATCCGCCTCCGAAGAGTCCAGGAGGGTTGGGATCCCAGAGGGCAGGAGGACCCGGAGGCAAAAGGAGCAGAGGGAGGAAAGGAAGAGGTGGAGCAAAGCTCGGGTATTGAACTGGTGTAAAGGAGGGGCAGATTCAGACGGGACTTCGCCGGTCTAAGGACTCAGACGTAGCGCTGCGCGCCACGGATGTCAAACCAACAATGAACCACAATAAAGACCTTTGTTTATAAAGAGCAACTGGCGTTGGTCCTTTGTGAGCTGGGACCTGAGGCAGCCGCTGACAATACCTTTGCTAGTTTCTGGGCCTACGCCGCATGCTTCACAATTTTCAGACATTTCCTTACAAACGCAAGGTTTCCTTCAATAAAGCATTAGATTCCTAGGATGTAGCAGTACCATGGTGCAGTACCATGGACACTGGGTATATTTTATTCTGGTGATGAATGGATTCTACCAAAGTGTTATCCTTTGGTAGGGTTCTTTTTGGCATCCCCTTTTACGATGACAAAGCAGCGCTAATGCATAAAGAGCCAGACTACACTAGTATCAGATTTTTCTACCACTGATGGCAGCAGTGTTGGTGGGGCACTAGTCGGACTTGCTAGCACAGGTGCAGTCTTTAGGGAAATTTCTCCCAAAAGTTATTCTCTCTTCCAAACACGGCCACACTTTCTTATCTTTTGGCAGCTGGCCAAACCTAATGACATGTTGGAACATCTCATCTTTTGAATGATTTGTAAAGTTGCTAGGCTGCAGCTCTAATTGCCGAGTTACCCCTTATGAAGTCAGTCCTTGAATGCTCATGGCCAAGTCCTTGCAACAGTGCGTCACATGGATTGTGAAGGAAGGGAAGGGGGTGTTCTGCTTGTGGGAATAGAAGGGCACTGTGTTTGGCAGAGGTTGGGAACATGTGGCCATCTAGAAGTGGTTGGACTCCCAGCTCCCATCAGCCCCAGCCAGCATGACTAATGAGCAAGGATAATGGGAGCCATAGCGCAGCAATATATAAAGGGCCACACATTCCACACCCCTAGTGTTTGTGGTACAGGGGGAAAATGGAGGGCAGTTGGGTTGCTTTGAGGGAGTGATATGCAGGCACTCCTTTGGGAGCATTCTGGAAGTGTTTGCTCTTACAGTGGTACCTCTGGTTACGTACTTAATTCGTTCCGGAGGTCCCTTCTTAACCTGAAACTGTTCTTAACCTGAAACACAACTTTAGCTAATAGGGTCTCCTGCTGCCGCCGCACGATTTCTGTTCTCATCCTGAAGCAAAGTTCTTAACCCAAGGTACTATTTCTGGGTTAGCGGAGTCTGTAACCTGAAGTGTATGTAACCTGAAGTACCACTGTATTCTTATTACTATTCTTATTAATGTTATCCTCATTTATTTGTTGCTTTCCACACACAAAAATCCTCAAAGCAACTTATAGTTTCGTAACATACGCACAAAGCATCAATACATTTACAAGCAATGCATCAAGAAAGGCAATAAAAGCCAACTTTGATCTAAAAACAAAGTCACTCATGCAACAGTATTATAAAAAAGATCATTCCTACCCACCCAATTAAAGAATGCAAACAACAAACCAAATGGAAATCATATTGTGGTATGACCCCAATGAAAAAACAAAGGCCTTGGTAAATGGGAGTTTCTGTGTAGGCAGTGGCGTAGTGTGGGGGGTGCAGGGGGGGGCCGGCCGCACCGGGCGCAACATCTGGGTTTAGGGCAAATCCACAGGTTAGGGGGCGCAAATCCACGGGTTAGGGGGCGCAAATTACTTGCCTTGCCCTGGGTGCTGACAACCCACGCTACGCCACTGTGTGTAGGAATGCCTAAAAACTGACAGCAATGACACCAGGCTTTTTTTTTCCTGGGGAGGGCAGTTGACAAACAGGAGAGCAAACCATGGTCAAACCCCATTCTCACATTACCACCCTCCTCAGAGGGGACACATTAGTGATTTTGGTGCAACCAAAACCAGGCAAAGCTCACCAGACCTCCTTGATCCCTCAGCTCCCAAGCGGCAGTAACTGCTGTCATTGACCACTCACTGACTAGCACCATTCACCTCTTAAACAGCAGTGGGGAACCTCCAGATGACAGGGTTCATTAGGCCCAGCCAGGGTCTTAATCTTCCCCAAGAGACAGTTCCCTGCAACTGTGTCCACCTGCCGTCGTATGTGATGCCTGGTGTGCGGCAGATAAATATGCAGCTGCAAAGGAGCAATTGGGAGCTTAAAGTGCACTTCTTATTGTTCCTTGGCAAGTGGGGCGGACAGCAGTGACCCCCGCTGATGAATTCTGACAGGGACTGCCTTTGAAATTGTCTGTTTTGCAGGTGGTTTTGATCCAAACAGCTCCTGCAACTGAACAATGTCCACCCGCAGACCAGCTTTGTGATGGTCTTTGTTGGAGTGCAGAGGGGAAATGTCTATTTTCAGGTGCAGTTTGAATCCAAGTCGCACCTGCAAATGAACAAAGGGAAGGCTGGCTGTCAGCACCACATAGACAATTGTTGTTGACAGCAAGCCCCTTTGATGTCAGAGGGGTGGCCCTGCCAATTGTCCAAATGGCCCATGTGAGATAGGAAGGTGAGGGTCCAGCCCACCAGCCAGATAAATTTCCACCCTCACCCTAAAATATCTAAAACTGGAGACTTAGCATCAAAACAATATGAAAATAACTATGTGCTGCAGTTAAAAATATGCCAATCAGTGGAAAAGGCTATTTCTGCTTCCCAGGCAGACAAGACAAAGTTCTTTTTCTTCCATCCTCTTTGACATCTTTATTTTCAACCTATTGTTTCATAAAAACCTCTACTGAATTTCCTATGAGTGACAGAGAAAGCAAGCTGGCCAGCTTATCAGTTCACCAGGGATTAATGTGATTAAAAACCAATTCTCAAGAAGGTGCTAGATAAAGTGTTTCCTTGTCTCTCCCGGCCACACTCCTGCACTCCCTTTCCTCCTCTGTGTGCTCATTCCCTTTCTCTGCAGAGTATGAGGAGGAGAGGTGAAATGTAAACATACAGGTAGAACACACAGGTGTGTGGCTGCCTGCCTTGTTGGCTAGCCAGGTGCAGAGCCTTGTGTTTCTATGCAAAGAGAAGCAGATGTGTAGATTTTGAAGGTCACAGTCAATAAGCTCACCACAATTTCGATTTCACTTTAAAATGATCAATGCAGGGACATGAGAATGAAGCCTCCTTTCAAAGCAGGACCAACAACAGGAAAAGTCCATGGTAGCCTGATTTTTGCTGCTGTGAAGACTGTGCTCATTAGCTTCTTCTCTTACCAAACCCAACACTTTGGTGTGGGCTCTGTGGCTTCATTGCACACGTGGGACTCCTTGATGGCAGAGACACTCCCATTTATTTCAGTGGAGGGACATGCAACCCATGGTTATTGTTGTAAGATTTTTTATCCATCCTTCAGCATAAGCCCCAGGGGAGGCTACAACAATGTAAAAATATAATACAGTGGTACCTTGGGTTACAGACACTTCAGGGTACAGACTCCGCTAACCCAGAAATAGTACCTTGGGTTAAGAACTTTGCTTCAGGATGAGAACAAAATCATGCGGCGGCAGTGGGAGGCCACATTGGCTAAAGTGGTACCTCAGATTAAGAACAGTTTCAGGTTAAGAACAGACCTCCAGAACGAATTAAGTTCTTAACCTGAGGTACCGCTGTATTAAAATCACTTAAAACAAGCTACAATCAAAAGAACGTGTCGTTTTTTGCCATAAGCCTGCGTGCGAATCCGGTGGCTGCCAGTGTTCATTCAAATATTTTGCAAAGGGGTGCCATATTTTGATGTGATAACTTTGTCCACATCTGATGCGCTATTCAGGGCATGCACCCTTATTGTCATTTTTTTCAGATAAGGCTATACGTTGTGTTGCCATTGTGAGATATGTAGGTGTTCAAGTCTTTTCCAGTTCTGTGGTCTGAGTAGTCGTTGTTTACATACCCTCCAACATTTATCTGATGAAAACAGGGGCATCCTGTTCTATTATTATTATATATATATATTATATTATAATAATATACTAATATATATTAATAATATATTATTATATATTATTATATATATATATTATTATATATTATTCTATTATACCCCATCTGACTGGGTTACCCCAGCCACTCCGAGCAGCTTCCAAATTATATAGAAACAAAATAAAACACTGAACATTAATAACTTCCCTATACAGAGCTGCCTTCAGATGTCTTCCAAAGGCTGTATAGTTACTTCTTTCCTTGGGGGTCACATAACTCTATACCCTCCAACATTTCTCTGATGAATTAGGGACACCCTAAGGAAAAGTGGGGCATTCTGGAATCAAATCAGAAACGGGGATGGCTTCTGTAAATCTGGGACTGTCTCTGGAAAATAGGGGCACTTGGAGGTTCTGTGTTTAAAGCAAATAGGCCAGGAAGGGACATGCAGGACTAGAACTAAGTAAGGGGAAGCAGTTGTGCTAAGCCAGGCCTGCTCAGGTTTTCCATGCCCATCTGTGGCCCAGCCAGAGGTCAATACTAAGCCACAGAGGAGGGAGATGGCATGGAGAGAAGGCCATGTTGGTTGTCTGGTGCTGCTGGACTAGAAGAATATGTATATCTCAAGCAGACTCAAGCCAAGGAACATGGAGTGGGGGGGGTTGGGGGGGTTGCAGATCAGGCCATGACCTCCCTCTGGACCCTGCGCACCCTATGCACCCGACATGGGCAGCAGCTCATTAGCGGGTGGATTGCTCCCCTGCCAGCCACTTTCTTCCCCTTCTCCACAATGGCTTATTTGTTCCTGCTGCCGAAAGCAGATTAGGCTCTCTGCAGAGAGAAAGGGCCCTTTCTCTGCGCAGATGCCTGTTGTGCTGGGAGATTAACGTCACGCTGTTATTGAGGCTGCTAACCTGTTAAAGCTGGTGGAACAGATCAGGGAGCGGGCTTGAAAGGTGGGTGTAAGAGGACACAGGCCACAGACGGGGTGCGGGGTGGGGGTAGGGTGGGAAGACAAAATCGGCAGAAGCCCCCAACCACCACCCAGCCTACTCCCCGCTCACTGCTTGAATGGTACGCAGCCAGAGTAGGTTCGTCAGAAACTTGAGGCTTGGGAATGTCTACAGGACACCACCTGCATTTCCAGATGTCAGCAGCATCTACTGGAGCACTGAGGCTGCAGATCTGCATTTTCAGATCTGTTCACCACCACCACCACCTAGTACAGTGGTACCTTGGTTGTCGAACTTAATCTGTTCCGGGAGTCCGTTTGACTCCCGGAACCGTTCGAAAACCAAGGCACAGCTTCCGATTGGCTGCACACCTTTATCTGTGTGATAAAGGTGAAGGTCCATTATCATGTCTCTGTTAATAGTAGCTCCATGTTGTTGCTTGGCCACAAAGTTCAAAGGATAAATGGTGGTTATCATTTCCTCCAAAATATGCAGAAGTAAGATGGGGCTAGCTAGTCCAATTGTGATTTACCCTATACAGCTCTCTGGCATCTAAGCAATGGGTGTGGAAATCTCCCACACAGACAAGAGTAATTGGGACAATAGCATAACTGACAGGAGACTAGTGTTCCAAGTCTTGGCTCTACAGATGACCTTTATGTGATCTTGCCCAAGACAAGGCCCTCCCTCTAGGCCTCTGAGCTCTTCACACCTTTCTCTTTGTTCAGACTGAAAGTTTCTTGGAGTAGGAGAAGGACTCCCTTATCTGGCTGCACGCATATAGCAGGCTTTTATGGGCTGCACAGTCATAATAACTATGTCATCACATCACAGAACGGATATCCCAGTATCCTTGACTGTCAGAGGCCTTCAGATTACAAGGGAGTGTCAGGAAGAGGACTTTTAAGGATGCCATCTCTCAGATAAACTCAGGCCATATCCACACATTGTGTTTAAAGAAGCATTATGCCATTTTAAACAGTCCCCAAATAACTCTGGGAACTGCAGTTTGTTAAGGGTGCTGAGAATTTAAAAATAATAATAATAATTTAATTTTCAGATTTTTGAGTTTACAAACAATGGTCAAACAACCAAAACAAAAAGAGAATTCCATAAATTTCCATGGACTTCCCTCCTCCCCTTGTCATATCCGTTGTTATGGTTGCTGCTAATTGTTAGGAGACCCCTTTCCCCTCTCAAAGAGCTGTGATTCCCAGAGTGGCTTGAGTCAATCCTTCTTCCCAGGGAACTCTGGGAATTGTAGCTTTGTGAGGGGAACAAGGGTCTCCTAACAACTCTCAGCACTCTCAACAAGCTACAGCTCCCAATTTGGCATCGGGGGAAGCCATAACTGTTTAAAGCTGCATAAACATCCTCTGGAATAGGGAATAGCCACGTTTAACAGAGTACAGCTTTGTTTGTTTATTTCAGCATTTATGCCTCTCCTTTCGATTCCTGAATGCAGTTGTAACAATAAAAACCAATTTAAAAAGCAGAAATCAAGGGACAATTGTTTGCACTTCGCTTAGGTGCCTTATGTTGTATTCAATTGACTCCAGCTGATTCTCTCTAACTTTGCGAATGCAGTTGGAGTTGTGCGTAACACGCAAGCGATTGTGGTTCATCTCCTTTTTTTTTCCTCTCCAGATTTGCGACTGCGTCACGGACTGCGCACTTATGAGCTGGAGCGCTCCTGCTGCTATGACTCGCTGCTTCTGGATGAAGAGAGGGGACGGCTCTTCGTGGGTGGAAAAAACTACCTGGCCTCCCTGAGCCTAGACAACATCAGCAAGCAGGACAAGAAGGTAGCCTGGCTCCGTTTGCCTGGGGCTTCCCACCAAAAATAGGGCAAGGGTATCTGGACATGTCTTTTCCCTCTCAGATTCAGACCTGTTATTGTAAGCCACCCCAGAAATTCTGAACTGAAGGACAATATGGAAACTTTGGAGTGGTGTTCCACCAAGTTTTACTCAGAAGTTAATTAACCTACTAAGTTACATTCATTCATTTCAATGAGTAAAACTTAGCTGAATACCACCCATTTAAAATAAATGATGACATGGGGTTGTACCTTACACTGGTATTAATGGGCAGAAGATAATGATGTCCAGTATTTTCAATGGATCTGCTTTGAGTAGGACACCAATATTGGATGCAATCAATAGAGTTATTATGTTCTCTCTTCAACTCCCTCCTCTGCTCCTCAGCCTTTAGTAGTGCCATTTCCCCGCTCGCTCGTCATGACAACGGATCCCGCATTCCAGACTCCTCCGTGAAATCTTCTATAATAAACTTCCCTGTTAATGGAGTTGGAAAGAGGGTGGGTTGAGGCTGCTGACGCCCTTACCGCTGGGCTGTGGACGAAAGCCGCATTCCTAGCCCAGCAGGGGAAACTCTTTGGAAGCACAATACAGCCGCCGCCAACCCTCTGCTCTTGGAGCATTTGCACTTCTTTGGCCAGTATGGCTGGAAGAGGAGGCATAATTCACTGGTACAGCCCTGGGTTCATTCCCTAGTATCCACAGGCAACACTGGTTACCTGTCTTAACATCCTGGAGAGGTGCTATTACCAGTTAGTGTAGATGACTCAATGGTCTGACTCAGAACAAGATAGTTCCTGATATTCCTTAGATGACACATAATGGCTGTCTGCTCTGCTGTCTGTTTTCTTTGCACACAGTGAACTAACGGGTCTTGTGGGTCAGGTTTGGTTTCCTCAACATGTACAAAGCTTTGCACCGTGGCCGCTGAAGCAGTGTCCAGTTCGTGGCAAAAGACTTACAGGCTGTCTTTCCCTTTACCACAGTGGTACCTCTGGTAACGAACTTACCGTATTTTCCGCTCTATAGGACGCACCCGACCATAGGATGCACCTTGTTTTAGAGGGGGAGAACAAGAAAAAAAATAATCTCCCTCTCTGTGCAGCACCGCTTCAGCAAAGCGGCAGGAGAAACGGAGCCCCTCCCATTTCTCCTCCCGCTTTGCTGAAGGGGCACTGCGCAGAGAGGGAAAGCTGCGCAGCACCTCTCCAGCAAAGCGAAGCCAGGAGAGCAAGAGGGATCAGTGCGCACCAATCCCTCTTGCTCTCCTGGCTTCAGGCAGCTATTCTCATTCAGTAGAAATGAGGACCAGAACAGTGGAACACACAGATCCAAGGAGTTCAGTTGCAGTGACTCCTGGCATGCAAAGTATCCCCCAGTTTAGCCCTGGGATATTAACCTTGCAGTGCATCACTTACATGAACCTACCCAGGCCTTAAAATCAGCCTCTAAGGCCCTGCTCACTGTGAAGAGCCAGCAGACTGGTAGGTACTAGAGACAGGGCCTTTTCAGTAGCGGTATAATATCTTTGGGACTTTCTCCCAGAAGAAGAACATGGGCTTCCATCTTTTCTGTGTTTTGAGCAGATTGTAAACACTTGCTTGTTTCAAACTACATTATATTAAGAGAGTTTTAAGAGGCATTTTAAATTCCTTTAAACTGCCGGTGTCTTAGGGTATGCTTTTGTCACCAGAGTGTTTTATTTTGATTTTTTAAAAAATCATTGTATGGTTTTAATTATCTTTTAAAAGTTGTCTTTGCCTTGAAAGGTGGTGTATGAGGATTTTGAATATATAAACAGCACAAATAAATAAACAGGAGCCATAAGGCCCACCGCTGGCTTTGTACATTTTTCTACATCCCATTTTTTTTGGGGGGGGGACGGGGGACGGGGACTCAAGTCTCAAATACCAAGGAGACAGGTGATGGACAGTGAATAAAGGAAGCCAGTAGCATTACAACTAAGGGTTGGTTAAAAACAAAACAAAACAACTATCAGCATTTTTAGCAGCATTTGACTAACTTCAAGTGTGATGAATGACTATGCTAGGAGTCCATTTCTTAAAATACAAAAATATTTTGGCAAATGATCTTTGCCTTATCTTTGTTCTCACAGATTTACTGGCCAGCGCCTGTGGAATGGAGGGAAGAATGCAACTGGGCAGGAAAAGACATCAATGTAAGTGACCCATTTGGATGGGGAGGGAAAATCCTTTGCTCAGCCCCTATGTGAGTCGGGGCATAAAACAAAGGAGGATAAGGAGCATCAGGAAACGCGATGTGAGTTGCTTGCTTTCCAGAGCGAACATTTCAATTGACTCCTCATCAAGCAGGGCATGGAGACTTCTCCGAGTTGTCCGACCACGGTGAGCTGGGGAAAAACTGATATGTGATAGCAGCCTCCCCCTCCCAGTAATTCACCCATGACCCTTCATTGCATCTTGCTGTTTTCATTGAGCATCTTGCTGTTTTCTCCGTCTCTCCCTGGCCTCACAGACAGCACCACCATGCCCCAGCCCTGGGAAGAGGCCCCAGGGGGCCTTGGGAGTCATGTTGCTGTGAAGGGACCGGTTGGTGCACTTAAGAGATTCCTGCTTAGCTGTGACCCATCCTGACCTCCCAGCAGATAAGAGGAGGGTTCCCACCATTTTGGCAGGAGCAGAGATGAACCAGGACACAGCCAGATTTTGCTCCTTGATAACGTTGGGCCAGCAGCATGAAGGGGTCTCGGTCACCTTGGCTATAATTCTTACAGGTTGTCCATGGAGGGAGCAGTGCTGTGTCAAGCCCACTGGCAATGTGAGCTTTGTGAGCTGTTGGGTTTCTCTCCCCTAGCTTTGGAGAGCAGTCTTGGGTCACCGTTTTCTTTCAGGATTGCCTGGTCAACTTGGAAGTTCCCATTGAGGCTGTTTGGCGCAGCTTCCAGTGAAGGGCACGAGAGGACAAAGGGGCAGCCTGTCTCCCCCTTGGATTTTGCCAGTCTCTCTTCAGAATACTGCTCTAAGCCCTGAAACAGCATATGTAAGCAAAGTTTGCCCTCATCCAAGAAGGTTGAAAGAGAGGTAGGGTTTGTGTGCTTTAGGACTAAGACCTTGGGCCTATCCAGCTGACTATAATTTTGGAGACTCATCCAGACTTCCTTTTGTGCCATGTTTCTAGGCACCAGTCTGTGCTTTAAAGTTCCATTACCAAGAAGTTTTTTTTGGGGGGGGCACTTTCCCAGGGAAAACCTGTGTTTTTCTGCAGAATTGGATCAAACTGCAATTAGGTTTCCCCGCAGGTTGTCATTAGGTAAAATGTGGGTTTGCCCAGGGAAAGTGCTGGGACGAAAGAACAAAACAAAAACACTTGAACATGGAGCTTTTTAAAGCATGGCCCTGTTCCTGGAAAGTGGCACAGAAGAAAGGCTGTGTGAGCCCTGAGTGCGCTGTTTCTGTCCTTCTGATCCCCACAGTTGAGAATCCATGCAAATATTTCAACAGCTGATGGGGTTGATTTGACAGTAATAGGACCTGTGTCATTCATGCAACTGCCTTCTCCATTCATCACATAGATCCTCAAGGGGAAGTGAGACGTACCTTTCCCCACACTGCTCTTGCTTTTGCTTCCGGATAAGGGCTGTGGGATAGGAAAGTTGCCATCCTTAAGGGAACTCTGGCACTATGCACTGTTATGAATTGCTGTTGGTACTTTGACCTGGTGCAGAATGCCATGAAAAAGTGTGATGTGGTCATGATGACCTAATTCCTGTGGTTAATTATTTGCATGATGGACAATAGCCTAGAGTGGAATCAATCAAAAGTGTTCTATGCATGTGCATACAGACACTGAAAGCAACTCTCTGAACAAGGCAAAGGAAGGATTAGCAACTTCCTGAGTCAGACCACTGGTCCCTCTAGCTGAGTTCAGTCTGCAGCAGGGGTGGGGAACCAGTATTACTAGACTACAACTTGTAATCAAGTATTACTAGACTACAACTCCCATAATCTCTGACTATTGGCCATGCTGGCTGAGTTGGAATCCAGTAACACCTATCTGACCACAGGTTATCCACCGTTGGATTGCAGGGACTGGCAGTGGCTGTCCAGGCTTTGAGAACAGGGATATATCCCAGCTGAACCTACATTTCAGACCTTGAACTTGGGACCTTATGCATGCTAAACATGTGGTCTCCCACTGAACGATGGCCCTTATTCATCATAGAGGAAACAGGCCTAGAGAGATGGCTCATTTGCCAAAAGTGAATGGAGCTAGGAGTTTTCAGCAACGTGGCCGCAGTCAGGAAGATGTTGGGGTGGGGGAATCAGGACCAGTGTTGGTACAAGAGCTGCCCTGTGTCCCATCACTCTTGTTTGAAGCAGAAGCAATTTGTTGCAGAACCACTGTGGCTGAAGAGCGAGTGACAATGCAGTAGCAGCACCACAGACGCATCGGCAAAGCCAAGAGCAGAGTGCTATATTCAGCCACTCCTCCCCAGCTTTTGTTTCGGACACAAGCACCACTGACCCTGTTGAAGAGGGGTGGGGAGATCAGCACCTCTGTGCTCTACTGAGCAAGAGTGGGCTGTGGGGCTTCCTGAAAATCAGCTGGTGGGAGGAGGAGAGGCATTAGCAAGACACCTCTCTCTCTCTCATTCTCTCTCTCTCTCTCCCCCCCTCTCTCTGATGGTTCCCTGTCTCCTTTTCTCTCCCTGTCAACAGCTCTCCATATTCAGGCTGCTTTATCCATCAGGGCAAAAGGGCAGGAAAACAAAAAGTCCCAAGGTTGTTTTTCTTCCTGGGCTTGCTCAAGAGTGATGATAGGGGCTGTAAGAGCCCCAGGCTTGTTTACTCAAGACCAGCCCAGCAGTGGGTGGGTAGGATGCTCTGCAAATGGTTTAGACCCCAAGGACTGCTTTGGAGATGACATCTGTGTGCATGTGTTTGTAAGAGGGGAAGAGAGGGAGACTTTGAGCATTCCCAACCCCCATCACAACTAATAAATCCTCGAAGTACCAAACCCAGCACTTCCAGCTACTTATATATGCTGGCAGATTTGCAGGCTTTCAATCGTGTGAATATCACACACACAATTGTGCCCTTTAGCAGAGTATGTGCCTAACCAGTGGCAGTCTCGTATTAAATGAATCAGATGCAAAGTGTGAGAAGACCCAACCCAATTTTTTCTCTCTCTCCATTTTAAAAGGAGCAGCATATTCCAAGCAAAGAGCAAATCTTACAGGGGGAGGCATCTTCAGAGAATGGGAGTAAATAATGGGAGACACCCCCTTTTGTTGTGCAAATCATTTTAGAGGCAGAGCAATTATCACCAGAGTACACATAAAAATCCCCATATATATTGAGCTGTGATAATGAGCATGTGTAAGAATAGACTTGGTCCGGTGCGCAGGCTGCAGAGAAGAAGCTTGCTGGCTTTAATGGGACTGGGAAAGGGTCCAGGGCTCATTGGAGCTTAGCTGTCTTTATGGTTGGAAGTTCATTTAAATTCAGTGCTACGGATTGACGTTCGCAGTCTAGGTTAAGCATTAATGGAGCATAAGCTGCGAGATCACACTCTTTGCCTTTCCATCTAAGTAGGAGTTAAGCGGGGAAAGCAGAACAGGTGCTAAGAGGTTGGCAACACTATGGACTCACCCACATTTACCTTTTGGCCCACAGTTTCTAGGCTTTAAAGCGCCATGTCTAAGTCCTTTCTCCCCCCCCCCCTACTTTCCCCTATGAAAACCTTCTCTTTAACGCTGAGTCAGAACAAATGGCAATTTCCCATTTGCTCCAACTCAGTGTTAACTCAGTGGGTTTTCATGGAGACAGCACCAGGACAAAAAAAAAGTGCTAGGTCATGGCGCTTTAAAGCATTGACTTCTGCCTAGAAACAGAGCACAAAAGGAAGTCTGGATGAGCCCTAAGAGAGAGCGGGGTGTGTGTGTTGAAGGACACAGGGTGTGTTCGCACCACAAAGCACATAGCATTCACCTAAGAATCTCAGGAACAGTAGTTTGTTGATTTTGCTGGGAAATGTAGCCCAGTAAGGAGGAAGCTACAATTCCCAGAGGAAGTAATGTGCTTTCAGTGTGTCCTTTTCTACCACAGTGGTTTCAAAGTCACTCTCCGTCAGTGGCTGGCTTTTGCTCAAGAACCAGTTTTCATCCAAGTTAAACCCCTGGTCCTTCTTTCTAAGCATCGTCTGCAGCGAGTGACAGCAGCGAGTCAGCATTTCAGGATTGTGCCTGGCGCCATGGGATTGCAAAGCATGTGCTCTGGTGCTGAGCTACCAGCCGAACTTGCAGCTTGACCCAATTCATGGCGTTGAGAGTCCCTCTTCTTGTATGCCCGTTGCATGCCACAAGGGCTGTTTGCCACATTATTGCTCCCTAGGACTCGTCATCTCTGTGACAGATGGCTTGAAGAAGATGGGCAGACACTCAGTGGCACATGTCCAGCCTCTGGAAGAGCAGTTGGGAAAGCAGGGAACATCTGGGAACATCTGGCCCATGACTGATGCATTGATCCATCCGTGTTGCATCTGGCTCGTTTCCCTTAACCATTAGCTGCACAGCTGGACAGCCTAAAGGGGGTAAGGGAGGCCAAACCCTTTCTATAGATCAAGTATTATTCTGAAGTTTCAGTTTTCCTTGGCCCAAATAAGAAAACAAGCTCTCAGATGTTGTCTTCCCCAGGGGGAAAGGCATGCACCTGGATAGCTTTTCCAGATGGGGAGGTTTTGGCCATAGAAAAGGCACAAGTGCAAGGTGGCAAACTGATGCCACCATTTGCAGCTGCAGACTGCTGGATTTCTATAGAAGGGCCGTAGCTCAGGGCTAAAGCATCTGCCTTGCAAGCAGAAGGCCCCAGGGTCAACCCAGGCATCTCCAGGTAGGGTTGGGAGAGACGCCTACCTGAAATCCTGGAGAGCCACTTCCAATCAGTGTAGGCAATACTGAGCGAGATGCTCTAATGGTCTGACTCTGTATAAGGCAGGGTCCTATTTTCCTAAGCAGAGATAGCGTTGATTGCAGAGAGTTCCCCCAGTTACCCAGCATTTAACTCTGTCAGTCACCTTGGTGCAAACAAACTGGGTGACTGAACAGGAGAGTTTTGTGTGCAAGAGGCGAGGAGGGACTGAGCCTCTTGATTTGGGAGGTAAGTTTGTGTTTGAGGCTCTTGGTTTTTTCCCCTGATTTGACCTGGGGGTTGGATTAGGCCACTCATCAGTGGATTAGGCAATCAGTGCCTAGGCTCCCTTGTGCCCTTGGCAAGGAGACATGGGGGGGGCAGGGGGGCAGCTGCCCCCCCATCAATAAAAATCAATAAAATACATAGCAAACTGAGGTTATGCCCCCTCTAACAAAAGGCCTGCCTCCCCCCAACAAAAATCCTGGCTACACCCCTGCAAGGAGATGTATTGGTGTGGAGAGGCTCAATTTTTTGCACCTCCCCCGGGCCTGTGCCCTTGTTGGGGGCCAACCTAGCCAGCCCCTAAGTACTGTACACCCCTGACAGCCACCTGTGGACTAGTGTTGGGTGGGGCAGAGAGGCAGAGCAGCAGGTGTGACCTTATACAACAGGCTGCATTACAGTAATGTAGGACAGATTATTCTAAGCTGCCACTGCCCCACAACCTCCTTTTGGACAAGCAAGAGGTATGATCACAGTTCCAAGAGCTTCTCCACCCCTGGATTAGATAACTGCCAAAGTCCTTTCCAGGAGTGCTCTGATGGTGTTTCCTGCTTGGCAGGGGGCTGGACTTGATGGCCCTTGTGGTCTATTCCAACTCTATGATTCTATGATTCTAACTCTGAAAGTCTGTGGGAAGAATTCTGATCCTTCTGTCAGTGCGAGTATTTCTGCTTGCCAGAGAAAATGATTCCCCCTGTGCCATGCCATGCCATGCCCTGCAAAGCAGATTGTGGGGACTCACGAGGGAAATAAAGAGGGGAAGCCCCATGGCACTGTACTGGCTTCTGCTAGCAGGCCAGGTTGGTTGAATCCTGTGGTTCTAGGTGCATGACAGTTGGGGCTTCGTGCTGTGCATTTGCTTTTATAGTCACCCCCACCCCCAAATTATTATCTCGCAGGCATTTCAGTTACTTCCAGTATTTAATCTTATCAAGCAAATTAGCCTGTGCTTGGCCCTGGCTTTCATTTTTACACCTGATCAGTCACTGATAATAGCATGAAGAGCTGCTGGAAATCTTTCCAAGATTTGTCTAGCGTTTGCTATATCCTGCTTTATGGCCATTGCTCCATCTTATCTCCCCTTTCCTTATCCCAGCCTTCTTTCCTTTTGAAGCTAACTTTGCACAAATGCTAAAACTTTCCCACTGACGGGGAGCTCTTTTCCATCTTGCAGAATTTTGCCTATTCTAATATGCCTACTTCACACATTTTGGGAGTTTCCTGGATCAAAGTTATTGATGGGTATATGGAGGCAATTCCGTGGTGGTGGTGGTGGTGTTCCAGATTTCAGAGCAGTGTTGTATGTGTGTGAAAGAGGGGTTGGGAGGTTGGGGAAGGCAGGCAGGAAACTTCAAAGAGTAAACTGAAGGGAAAGAAAGTGGCAACTCAACCACTCTCTTGTAAAGCACATCTTGCAGGACCCCTCAATGCATCTTTCCTGGTTTTGAAGTTTGCAAACCACTGAAACTCCAAAGCTGGACATAGAGCCAGTGATCAGGCTGTAGCTTGAACTCTGGCCCTCTCACTCCCAATGCAGCCCTTTCAGCCAGGGTCAGTTCATGTGGCGCCTGCCAGATGTGGCTGGGCTATGACTCCCACCATCCTTGGCCATCGACCAAGCTGCCTGGGGCTCATGGGAGCTGGAGTCCAAGAACACCTGGCAGCCGCCATGTTTGCTCCCCTTGCTCGAAGCATTGCTCTGGGATTCAGTTCCTGGTGTCTCCATGTAGAGCTGGCACAATCTGCTGCCTGAAACCCTGGAGAGTCACTGCTAGTCAGTGTGGGCAACGCTGAGCTAGATGGGCCAGTGGCCTGACTCAGAGCTTCCTGTGCCCCCCTGGTTCTGTGCTGCCTTCTCTTTCTCCTCTCTTCCTCTCTTGCCTGTAGGTTTCCTTGCTTGCTGCCATTGCTACTTGTTTGCTGAGCCTTGCCTGATCCCCACCCACCACTGTTGGCCACTTGTGAAGTGACTGTTTTTAGCATTTTATATATTTTTTTGCCTTGCTGGCTTGTTCTCAGTTAGCCTTCAAGAGAAGTCACTGTGGTGCTTGTCTGTCTCTTCCTGCAAGGTGCCTGGTGGTGCTGGATGGGATCCTGACTTCCTCTCTCCCCCACCAATATCTTGACACTCCCCTGGGGCTCATATAACAAGAGGGCATCACTTCTGCCTGAGTTATTCCAGACATTTAAATAATCAGCCACTTTCTAAGGGGCAGGAGTGATCCTTCAGTGGCTAATTGTGCTCAGCAGCAAGTCAAACAGATGTTCCCCTCCTGACAGGCCCTGAAAGGGAGGGGCTGCTGGGGAGGCTTGCTTTGTAGGAGGGAGGCAGCGGCTCAAACAGGGGTCTTCGTGTCTGCAGGTGACAGGCACAAAGCCTCTCAAGCGTAGTGTGATGGAACGGCTGCTTCCTACCGCACCCTCTGCTGGAAGGTGAAATGTGCAGAGACTCCCAGTCCACCATGGACAGTATGGCATCCCCATTCTTCCCCTCCCAGTGTGGGAAATGCTGCACAGTCCCAGAGGGAAAGAGAGGCTCCCACATGCTCTGGCATCTCAGCAATGTCAGGGGAGGCCGTCCAGAGGCAGGGGAAAGACCCACACTGCAGATGCCTGAACCACAGGCCAGCAAAACCTATGCGCTGCTCTTCCTGCGCACACCTTGCTGTGGCCTCTCCTCCTCCTCCGTTCCCAGCTTGGCCTGCCCCACAAGACATTCTTTCTGGCAGCAGAGGAGGCACATCTGAAATAAGGATCTGGGTGGGAAGTTGCAGATAGGGATGCAAGAATCATTTCTACATTCCTAACAGCTGTCCAAAGCCCTTAGCAGCTCCCTTTCTTTGAGGTCCAGCTCCGAGGGCCTTCTGGCGGTTCCCTCACTGAGAGAAGTGAGGCTACAGGGAACCAGGCAGAGGGCCTTCTCGGTAGTGGTGCCCACCCTGTGGAACATCCCATCAGATGTCAAGGAAATAAACAACTATCTTATTTTTAAAAGACATCTGAAGGCAGCCCTGTTTAGGGAAGTTTTTAATGTTTGATGTTTTATTGTGGTTTTAATATCCTGTTGGAAGCTGCCCAGAGTGGTAAAGCTGCCCAGAGTAATAAATTATTATTATTATTATTATTATTATTATTATTATTATTATTATTATTATTATTATTAGTGGGGCTGCTGGTGCCTCTGTGTTGTGCCCATCCCTCTCCTTATGCAGCATCCCAAGCCTTTGGGCCTGCAGGCATCTGGTTGGTCACTGGAAGCACAGGGTGCTGGGCCAGGTCTTCTGCAGGCACCCCCTGGGCCCACAACGTAACTGGCCTCGCTCTTGTCTTGCAGGCCGAGTGCATGAACTTCGTCAAGATCCTGCACCTCTTCAACCGGACGCACCTGTATGCCTGCGGCACTGGGGCCTTCCACCCCATTTGTGGCTTCGTAGAAGTTGGGCAGCGTGCAGAGGTGAGCCAGGCATGGAGGTTCATAGGGTGGTAGAGGCACAGGCAGGAGAATCGCTTGAGCCCCAGGCTCTGCTCTCTGGCCTCTCTTACTGGCACGTCCCTCCTCCCTCTCTCTCCAGGACTCTGTGTTTAAACTGGACCTGAAGAACTTAGAAGATGGCAAAGGCAAGAGCCCCTACGACCCACGTCATGTGGCCGCTTCAGTGCTGGCAGGTAAGGGACCAGGCCCCTCCGCCCAAAGCTAGTGATAACTCCTTCCCTCCACCCTGGATGGCTTTAAAAGAGGAGGGTAAGTTCATGGAGGGTGGGGCTGTTGGTGGCTACCAGCCACAATGGTTATGCTCTGATTCGATGGCCGGAGGAAGCAATGCTTCTGAATGCCACTTTCTGGAAACCACAGGAGAGGAAAGTGCTGTTGTCACAGGCATCTGGTTGGCTCCTGTGAGAGCAGGATACTGGACTGGGTGGGCCATTGGCCTGATTCAGCAGGGCTCTTCTTCTATTAGAATATAAGCATAAGAATATAAGAATAACAGATTGTGTGGGGTGACCAATAAAAACACAGCCAGCACTTTCCAGTTGACACAGCATACATTTAAAGAGCATCCTCTCTGCCAAAAGAATAATTGGAACTGTAGTTTACCCCTCATGGAGCTACAATTCCCAGCACCCTTTACAGTTCTTTAAATGTATAGTGTGCATGCAGCCGTTGTCTCATCCAAGGACTCGTGAGTCCCTAAAGCTCTTCCAGCGTTTGCCAAGTGGAGACTGCTCTCCATCTGATGTGAGAACAGCTTGCATCAGCCAGCACTCTGTGCTGAGGATGCCACTGCTGGTGTGGCTGGCGGCACATTTTCTTTTGGCTCCAAGCACCCTCTGAGCAAGGCTCCAGGAATGGCAGCTGCTGCCTCCCGGCCTGCATGCACAGGAGCTTTCCTGCCTTTAAAGAGCGGAGGACATTTCAGGGGGGACGAATCCTGCACGGGGTACCAGAGAAAGAGCACCTGGGACATGTTCCAGTATACATATCCCATGACAAAGCCTTTTAACCTCTGTCTTTTATTTTTCTGGGGTGGCCAGGTGAAGAGCTCTATTCTGGGGTGGCTACTGACCTGATGGGCCGCGACTTCACGATCTTCCGCAGCCTTGGCTCAAGGCCCTCTATCCGCACGGAGCAGCATGACTCCCGGTGGCTCAATGGTCAGTGGGGCTGGGGAGGAAGGGCATCCCAGGGATGTAGAAAACAGGCTTGGGGCTGCATAAACAGCAATTTCCCTGCACTCGTCCTGTTGTCCTTTTTCTATCTCTGATGGATCACTGGTGCTGGGAGTGGGAGAACATGTTCCTTTAAGTGCCAAGGAAAACTACAGTTCCTTAGGACTCTTGTTGGTCTCAATCGCCAGCTGTTTTGTCACTTATGAATGGAGGGTGCCATCTAGTGGCCAGGGCCTGATTGGCAGCTTCCTGACCATTGAACTGCTGACTAACCACCAAGCTAGACAAGATGTGTTTAGGATTTAATCTTTTGTTTTCTTATACAAATTAGCAACCCCGCATGGCTGCAAAGCCGCATTCTGGGAGAAGACCGCTACCCCTTTCCCCTTGTGGCCTTCGATGACCTGAATGCCCCGCACCATGTATTTAAAGCACATTTGTACCATCTTGAGAACTGTAGGTCTTCCTCACAGAGGTGTAATTGCCAACACCCTTAAACAACCATTTCCCAGGATTTTTCAGGGGAAGCCATGAGCTTTAAATCTGTCATGTGGCAGTCTTCTCTGGATAATGGGGAGAGAGAGGATCCGTGTTTCTGTCTCCTTTACCCTCTGGGAGTGAAAAGCAGCTTCAGAGGATGATGGTGGTGATGATTATGATAAAAAGCAGGGGGAGATTTAACAATCCCCACCCCTCTGTGCCTCAGTCAGATTCCCCATTACACTCACAGGAAAGGGGCAGAGTATATTCTTTCGCCTGCAGAAGGTTCCAGATTCAATTCCTAGCAGTTAAACAGAGATGGAGAACCTCCTCCCCACCAGCGAGTCTGGTGGTTCCAGACTGGTCCAGGAAGCCATTTTTACTTAAACCACGTCCACCTGTCAGCCTGGTGGTGTCAGTTCTGCTGGGTTGGCTGCAAGCATTGGCTCCTCCCATGGGGAATGGGTGCTCATAGCCAATCCCTGCAGAAAGCAGGATCGAAGGTCAGGTGTGCAAGGGAAGCTCCCTTTAGGAACTTGTGTACCTGAAGCCTTCAGAAAGCAGGATTGCTTCCCTGCCCCATGGGCCAACTTTGACTCATCTATTTAACAGCTGGGTAATCAACCCACCTGCCAATGTTGGACCATGGGATGGAGCGGGGAGATAAAGATATTACCAAAAAGATAAGGGAGGAGGTGACAATAGATCAGTGGTCTGGCTCTGCATGAAGCAGCACAGTGCTGCTCTTTGCATTTTTTTTTAAGTGGAAGACCATTATGTTCTCTCACATAATGTACAATTTCCCACCTCTTTGCTTTGGCATTGATGTTCTCCCACTTGTCTGTCCCCAAGAGCCCAAGTTCATTGATGTTTTCTGGATCCCGGAGAGTGAGAATCCCGATGACGACAAGATCTTCTTTTTCTTCCGGGAGACAGCAGTGGAAGGAGCCCAGGGGCTGGGCAAGCAGACCTTCACCCGCATTGGCCAGATCTGCCGGGTGAGAGCTCTGTGCCTTCTCGAGTCCAGTGCTGAGGACTGGGCAAGGCCTGGTCAGGTTGATACCAGTCAGGCAGGTTAGGGCGGGCATCTGGGTGCCAGCCCAGCGCTTGGGCTGAGTGGAGGCCCAGTTTCAGCATACATCCATGAGCCTGCTTGTATGAGAGAGCTGCTCTCTCAGCTTTGCCTCTGCCTCGGCCCTGTGGTAAAGCATTAGGGTCCACCCCATTCTTAGGCCTTCCTGCACTTCAGCTTATTGAGCCCCTTGTTGAGCCTTAGGTCAGTTCTCCATGTGGATCTTGCTCTCCATGTGGACCCAGCTGAACTGGGACACTGGCTGGAAGGAGTCTTTCATGGCAGGAGTGGGGCTCTAGCAGCAGTAAGGGAAAAGGGTTTTCAGGGCAGAGGTCTAGGGCCCCATTCAGCAGAATGAGCAGGGGGGCAAGTGTAGTGAGGCATTTCGAAGTAAGTGAACTAATACACATTATCATCTAAGAGGGTGCTCACCCACAAGACCATGGGGGGAATCCAGAGTCTAAAATGCCCTACGTGCACTGCTGTCCCCGGCTACCTCTCTGATAAGCCTCTCTTCCTCTCTCTGCAGAATGACATGGGTGGGCAGAGGAGCCTGGTGAATAAATGGACAACTTTTCTGAAGGCCCGGCTGGTGTGCTCGGTGCCCGGCAGCGATGGGAGTGATACGTACTTTGACCAGCTCCGTGAGTGACTGTGGCTGTTTGAGGTCTGGTCTGGCAAGGGGAGGAGCCCTAGATAAGTGGTAGAACACAGGCATTTTGCACACAGAAGGACCCAGGTTCAGTCCCCAGCATCTCCAGGTGTGGCTGGGAGAGACGCCTACCTGAAACTGGAGATCTACCTTGACAGAGAAAACTGTGCAAAAGCTACATGTTCTAGAATGTAGAATAGGGATGCATTCGCCCACATATGTGCACATAGGCAGCCAAAACATGGACAGTTTTAAAAACACATGACTTTGAAGGAATAGCTTGTGATTATTATAATATTTCTATGAAGACTTTACGTTGTTCAAATCCTAAGCAACCATTCATATTCTAAAGCAAAACAAATTTCCACATTTTTAGTTACATTTTTTTTGTCCCATGCATTTATATCTTCTAAATCTCAACCAAAGAACATCATTTCCTTTGAAAAGTGCCACTTTGCAATCCAGCTTTGTATAATTAGGCGTAGGTTGTTTTTTGACCCATTGCAGCCAAATCCCATAGTCAAAATAACCAAGTTTTAACACCTGATCGACTTGTGCCCTTATATACATGTTTTTCATATTTTATACATTTGGATAAAAAATGCACACAGATTGTTTTGAATGTTCTGAATGTATCCACATTGGGCTCCTCCAGACTGGTTTGGTTTTTTTGCAGTTGTATGCTGCAACGTATGTAATACACTAGTGGTGGATTTACACTGGACCATCCACACACAGTTCTGCTTTACTAGTTCTTCTGCTACACTTCCCCAATGTTACAGTATTGTTGACATCTGGAGGGACACTCTTGCACTGCTATTAGTTTTAGCATAAGTAGTATTCCAATTTATTACCCTCTCTTCACCTTAAAGTCCCAGGGCAGGTTACAATAATGCGATTGTTGCTATGGCACAACGAAAGCCAGACAACTCCCCACCCACCCATGTGGCATAAAATTTCAGCAGGAAGCTCCGGTACCTGTACCCATTGGAAATGTCCATCTTGAAACCTTTGCAGGTGCAAACGCTATTGAAAGCGGAATCATGTAGAACTGCCCTGATGCCAGTGTGAGCAAAACGCATCATAAATGCAAACTAGAAAGGGCTTCTGGGGGAGCTCCACTGTGTGATGGCTAAATAGATAAACAAAACAAATCTGAACTGCTGTCCTTAGAGGACGGCAATATGATTTATTTATTTATTTTTGCAACTTGCGGTGTTCTGTTCTGTTAGTGCCTGTTAGTGGGTCAGCAGAGAGCAGGGGTGGAGGCTTAATTTATCTCTCCCTGTTGGGGGGGGGGAAGGTTAGAGAAAGGTTCACTTTCTAGCTAGAGTATTCTCCTGTGGCTGGGAAAGGGATTGCCATCCTCCAGCTGGAAGACTGCAGGCCAGTGACTCCTTTTCTCCTTCTCTCTCTTCCTCTGCTTGGTCTCCCTTCAGATGATGTATTTTTGCTGCCAACCAGAGACAAGCGCAACCCTTTGCTGTATGCTGTTTTCACCACCTCCAGGTAAGGATAATAGTGGTTTCTTCCACTTTCAGCCGGGTTTCCTTTCCCCAAGAGGCTGTAGTGTCTGACCTTCTGGGAAATGACATATTGGAGGGTGTGGGGTGGAGACACACACCACCTGGTTATTCCTTCCCCTAATGCTTCTCTGTGGTCTGCTCCCACAGCACCGTCTTCAAGGGCTCTGCTGTCTGTGTCTACCATATGAGTGACATCCGCAGAGCCTTCTTGGGACCTTTTGCTCACAAGGAAGGGCCAAACTATCAGTGGGTGTCCTACCAAGGCCGGGTCCCTTACCCTCGCCCAGGAATGGTACGTGCCTTGGACTTGGGGTGATGAAATGAAGCCAGGTTCAAACTACTTAGAAACCATTTGGCAGGCAAGCGGTATATAAAATTCAATAGTAATGATAATAATAAAAAATAGCAACGGTGCTTGTTGATGTAGAGATGTGGGAACACCCAGAACAATGTGTTTGGAGAGCTCTTGGCTAGATGGAGAGAAGAGCGGGCAGAAATGAGGAAATGGAGAAATGGGCTGGGGGAGGATGGGCCAGGATTGTGGGGTACTGACAGTATTCTATGAAACTTCGGGGCTTCAGAAAACTAAGGAAATTTGGGCATCACCAGAGCTGCCTGGAAGGGTAGCGGGGGATTAAAGGTAGGGTGTGATTGGACTGGAAAGGGAGTTATGTGGGGTGCATGGAGGTCTGTGATGTGGTGTTTCTAGGAGTAGATGGTTTTTACATGCCTGGGCCTTCAACTCTCCCTCTCCCTCTCCCCTTCAGTGTCCCAGCAAAACCTTTGGCACATTTAGTTCCACCAAGGATTTCCCTGATGACGTGATTCAGTTTGCTCGCAACCACCCGTTAATGTACAACTCTGTGTTGCCACATGGCCAGCGACCCATCTTCCTGCAGACCAACGTGGGCTACACCTTCACCCGCATCGCAGTAGACCGAGTGGCTGCTGCTGACGGCCACTATGACGTCCTCTTCATTGGCACAGGTGTGTCTGCACGCCTCCCCTTCTGATATGCCTACCAAGTTCCCTTCTGCTTCTTAAAACAGCATGCTAGGATGCCCACAGTTCAAGGGTCAAAATGTGCATTCTGGTGACCAACTCTAGGTAACCCTTAGCTCATTCCTTGTAGAGCACTCCCTCCAGGTGTGTAGGGCAGCAGTGGGGCACCTCAGGCCCTCTAGGTATCTCTACACAGCCCTCAGGACTTTTCCCTGGCCTACTTCTTGCCCAGCTTGAGTTCTTTTCCCTGACTGGAATATATCCTTCAGCGGTGATAATTTCAGGCATGGTTCAATTTAGGGCCTCCTTTAGCTGCTATTAACTTTAAAATGTGTGCACATACACACAGAGGAGATGCTGTTCATTGATCTCCCGCCTTGTTTCTAATTGCACAGTCACTGTGTGTAGTGAAACGTTATATGCTTTCAGCTAGAACCCTTGTCCTGTTGCCTTCGCCTCCCCCAATCCTGTTGGCCACATTCCCGCTTTCAGCTGGTGCACTGAGAGCTTTGATTTAGCATAAGATCAAAGGAGACTGGAAACAAGATCCCTAAAGGGACCAGCTTAAGTGCCCCAAATCCTTGGAAACTTGGCACATTTTGTTGACCTCATCTCTTTTGTATGAACCAAATTGCCTGGCTTTCAGCTCTTCTTGCATGGCGTCTCTGTGGCTTTGAGAAATCTTTCCAGGGGGAGGCGAATAATAGTTCTACAGAGCTACCTTTGGAACTTGGGAAGCATCTGCCTGCCTGCCTGCGAATCCCCCTTTTGTTGTGCTAAATTGTCCTACTTGCCTGGCAGACATTGGCACTGTCCTGAAGGTCGTCTCTGTGCCCAAGGAGAGCTGGCAAAACATGGAGGAGCTGCTGCTGGAGGAGCTGCAGGTGTTTAAGGTGAGTGTGAGCGAAAGGGGAAGGCTGTCTTAGCTGAAGCCAAGCACAACTGTGCAATGAAAGGACTGTGATGTCCACTCAGGGGCTCCATCTGGCCTAAATATTTCAGAGTTTTCCCTGAATGCTACAGAAGCTTAGAATGTGATGTGGCGCTCGTGTCCTGCTTGCAGGTTTCCTGTAGTTTGGCCACTGTGAGAACAGGATGCTGGACTAGATGGGCCTTTGCTCTGACCCAGTAGGGTTCTTCTTATGCCCGTCTTGTATAAAACTCTGATGGTGGCGACAGTCTTCAGGGCTTCACTTGAGAAACAGAGACAGTAACCTGGGTGCCCTGGGAAAGTGCTTGGATTCCTGATTGCATAGGAGCAATCCTGAAGAAGAAGAACTGGGATACTGATTGCCTGTCACCAACTCAGTCACACTGCAATTCCTTTTTCTCATTGGCAGGACTCCTCTCCAGTTACAAGCATGCAGATCTCCTCCAAGCGGGTACGTCGTGCAGCAGAAGAGCTTTGGGGAGCCATGGCGTGGGAATGTGAACAGGGAGGCAATGCAGTGATGACTTCTGCATGCAGTTGGGGAGAGAGCTCAGCAGTGGGAGATTATCTGAACAGGGCCTGGTATTCATACAGATATATGTTTCCAAGTAAGAGAGTCTATCAGAGGTCCTCTGATGATGAGGCTGTCCCACCTCCTTCAAGACACCCTGTCCCATCCATCTGCCCTGTGGTTGGTTTAAGTAGGGTTGCCACATGTCCAGATTTTCCCAGACATATCCAGAATACTGCAGTCGGCAGCAGTGTCTGGATGAAAATCGATAAAATGTCTGGGAAATTCTGGATATATGGCAGCCAATGTTGGCAGTGCTGCCGTTTTTCTATTTCAGTTCTCTTCCTTCCATCAACAAGTGTCAGGCCACTCTAGGTTTCTCCATGGTCAAGCTAGCAGTTCCCATGCTTTTCCAATGAGAGCTCTGGGCTTCTTTATCTCCGGGAAAGCCTCGTACCCACCTCTTTTGGACTGTGGTGTCAAAGAGGCCAGAATCAGGTGTAATACAAGCGGCAGAAGACATTGACTTGGCCTTAATAGGACTCTGTGGCTTTGTCTCCTAACAGCAACAGCTCTACATTGGCTCCAGGACTTCTGTTTCCCAGCTGCCCTTGCACCGCTGTGGGATCTACGGCAAAGCTTGTGCTGAATGCTGCCTGGCTAGAGATCCATACTGTGCCTGGGATGGGACTACCTGCACTCGCTACATGCACAACACCAAAAGGTATGGTATGACTGCGGGGCTTTCTTGAGGGCAGGGCGGGGCAGAGAGTGATAATGGAGCCTGCCTGTTGTCTCTTGGGCCACCTACCCTCTTGCTGCCAGCCAGCTGTGATCTGGTTTGGTGGGAGATTTTCCCCCCATCTCCTGTTGGCTTGCCTTGAGGAGTGCCCAAAGGGACACAGACCTACATCCTGACAACATCCCCGTATGACATGGGCACTGTCTGCTCTTGCCTGCTTAAGAGCCTGCTTCTCCTCTGAAGCCATAGGACAGGTGCTGCTGATACCAAGATGTGGGGAGGAAATAGCTCCTGGCCACTACATTCAGCTGGATCTGTCTTATCCAGGAGCAATATTCTCTAGGTTGCCCAGGATGTGCACTGTAGGATCTCAGTTCTAAGATGCTGTGACTGGAACCCAAGCAGGACAAGAGCAATCTTGCTGCACGGCCCCTCTGAGGAGAAGATTTGTCTTCAGGAGAAGCCACACATTCCAGCCCACCTCAGAAGTACAACATACCCTGCTTTTGATTCCGATCAACCTTTCTGTGCGCTCTCTCTCTCTCTCCCTCTTCTTGCAGGCGGTTCCGGCGTCAGGATGTGCGAAATGGGGATCCCAATGTGCTCTGCTTTGGAGGTGAGTGCATTTGGACCCTACACTCTGCGTCATTCATGCCCAATTTGGTGTGTCCACCATCACCAACAATGTAAGATGTAGCATGGCCTCAGACTACTGCACTGAATTAGTTCTAGATGCAGTGGAACGTGTGCCTTCCCACCCTCAGCACATATGCATGCATGCACTCTCTTCTCTCACACCTGGCATATAGTACTGAATGCCAGAACCAGAAGAGCACTGAGAAAACATTAATTCTGCTCAGTGCCCTACTATCCTCTGCCCACGATTAAAAAAGAAAAAGAAATGGCACACTCAGCAGCAAGTGTTCCTCAACTTTCAAATTACTGCATGGAAAAGGAATTGGACCCTAGAAGAAACTAAATTCACGCTCATTCATTTATCCAAAATACATTGAGCACAGCTGCACATACAATCTTTCTTTCATTACAACTGACTTCAGAGCTTAGTTGCTCACTTAAGAATAGATTCTTTTAAATATAGCCAGGACAGCATCCTTGATCCATAGATTGTTCCCTCAAAATGCACCCCATTTTGTAGCCAGCTTGGACTTCTGTTTAGATTTCTTCATGCCTTGCTTCAGCTCTGGCCTCAGCACATCCCTGTGTGTTCGTTGTCCTGCCCCCATAATCCTGTGCTGAGATTAACAGATGACCTCCTTGAGCTCTCACGACTTTGTGCTGTCCCTTCCTGCTTCTGTGCAGATCCCCAGCGAAGCAGCGTCCCAGAAAAGAAATTATATGGAGTGGAAGGCAGCAGCGCTTTCCTGGAGTGCCTCCCTAAGTCACTGCAGGCCCAGGTTGTGTGGACGTACCAGAAAAGCAGCAGCGCCCCCCGGAAGGAGGTAGGAGCTTGGCTGCTATGTGCACGTAGACCAGGGTCACCAAACGTTTTAGGCCAGTAGGCACATTTTGAATTTGGTTGTGGGTTCCAGTCACAAAACAGCTGCTGCCATTGATGGCAAAAGGCATGTACATCAGCCGCTGCCACACACAATCACAGAGAGAAGCTCTTTGTACTTCTCCTCTGTTCAGAGTGGAAGGAAGGGTGTCCTATCCTGGCATCCAACGAAAGGTGCCTGCCCATATTTAAGAGGCGTATTCCACGTAGGAGTGGCTGAGCCAGTGCAAACAGGAACTAAGCAGGAAAAAAACAAACAGCCTCTCATGCATTGTGGAATTTTGAGCGGATCTTTGCCGAGAGCTTTTGCGGGTATCATAGGAGGGTACCATCAGGAACACCCTGGCACCTGGGGGTGCTATGTTGGTGACCCCTGATATAGAAATATAAGAGAGAATGAGAAACAAAGCTGGCAGAATCTAGAGTGGCCAGATGGTCGGGGTAGAAATATTAAAATTAATATTATTATTAGTAGTAGTAGTGGTAGTAGTAGTTTTACTTTCTCAAGCTACCTCAGCCTCCCTTTGGTTCCAAAACCTCCTGATATCATAAGTATCTTTTTGCCTCTGTGATTCTATGAATTCTATAATTAATTAATTAATTAATTAATCAATCAATTAATTAATCAGTCAGTCAATCAATCAATCAATCAATCAATCAATCAGTTAATTACTAAAGCAGGCATGCTGGCCTCCACTTCCTGCACATTCCCTTCATCAGATTCTTCCTCCTTCAGTGCAGGCCCCACTGCTTATAGCAGGGACCTGTCTCCAAGTAGGTACTTAGGATTTGTTTAATTTATTTATTTAACCATTTATATGTCTGTGGATCGCAGTAAAACATCAGCCCTGACCACTGGTCCTGTTAGCTAGGGATGATGGGAGTTGTAGTCCCAAAACATCTGGAGGGCCAAGTTTGGCCATGCCTGCAAGCGGTTTGCAAGAAATATTTTAATTATCAGAGAGTTTTGAAACAATTACAAACATTTAAAAACAGTTAGAATTAACATTAAAGGCAATTAAAATATGCAAGCATCTGTGTGTTTGCACAGGCCTTACTGTTGATGGGGCCATCCTCCCTCCTGGTTCTTGAATCGCTATTCCTGCCTGTCCCATCTCAGTTCCTCACCCCTACTGATGACCTCTCACCAATGCTATCCTTTTTCTCTGGCCTTACTAACCTGCAGGTGCTGTTGGATGACCGAGTCATCAAGATGGAGCGGGGGATTCTGTTGCGCAATGTGCAGCGCAAAGATGCTGGCCTCTACCACTGCCACGCCACGGAGCACGGCTTTACCCAGAGTTTGCTGCACCTCCAGCTTGAAGTGATTCACGCCCAGCAGGCAGACTCACTCTCCGTCTCCCGGGAAGAGGAGCCCGCACAGCCCTTCCACCGCAAGCTCTGGTACCAAGATTTCTTGCAGCTGGTGGACCACCCCAACCTCAGTACCATGGACCAGGTATGTGAGCAGCTGTGGAGCCGCAAGAGCCACCAGCCGAAGAAGAAGCCGCCGCTACCCCCTCCACTCAGCGTCAAGGCCAAGAGCCACAAGTGGAAGCACCTGGAGGACAAGCGGAAAGGCCGCAGCCGGAGAACACACGAAGTGCCCCGTGCGGAGAGGGGGCCCCGGAGCACTGACGTCTGGTGACCTGCATGGAGTGCAGCTGGACAACCAACCTCTATGCTGGGGAGCAGGGTGGGCGTGTAGGGAAAGGGGTGGGAGAGAGGATGCAGGACCATGGTTTGGGGGAGAGGGCTTCCTTTCCATCCTCCTGGCGGCCGCTTCATACGTAGTTTGTAGGGGGGGTGTTGTCGTCATAGCAACTTAGCTGCCATTCTTCAGAACTCGGTGCGAAGCAACAGAACCCGACAGGAGAGGGTGGCTTCTGTAGCCCTCGCCTCTTCCGTAACATACAACCAAAGATGGTGGCAGCAGTCTCGGGGGACCAAAGGAACCAAGTTATGATGATATCCTGTGCAGTGGGAAGTAAACCAGGCAGCATACGCCAGGAGTTGTGGTCCCTTTTTTCTTACCCTCAAGGATCTGCTGACTGTCAAGATGTAATTCTGGGGCTGAGGAGCCTTCTAGCTCTGGAGCGTCTGTTCGTGCTCAGAATCTTCCTCTGAAGAGGACAGTCCCCCGACGCATCCCTCTGTCTTGATAGGCAGGGTGCCTACCCCGTTTCCTCTCGCTTCCATAACCAAACCGACCTGCCTTGTGCGCATAAGTGTAGCAATGTGCTCTCCCCCTCCAGAGACACTACAGAACCACTGATGTATTTATTAACAGATTGTTAACTGATGAATGTAAATCCACCACCAGGTGGCCCACCAGCATTTAGCCTCTGACTGAAGGGACAGGGCTCCTGTTGCCCAAAGGATTGTGGGTACACTTCTGAAATGTTTTGGATGTGCATGTGGCAATGATGATGGTAACAGAGATGAGGAACCGTGGCATATCTCCTACGCTCTCAGATCTATATTTTATATGGCCCTCAGGGGATTCTTCATCAGACTGAGACCCCCTCAAGTGGCAGGGCAGTAACAGAAAGGCAGTTAACACACTGGTAAAATATTGAAGTTGAGGCCCTGTCATTACACAAGGATGTTTGTAAGGTCATGTTGAGCAGTGGAGGTGTCTATCTGTCCTTCCTTTGAAGGTTATTGCCAGAAGAATGATGGCCAACCAAGGTTTGTTCCCTTCTTTGGTCTGCTCTGGGGCCCAAGTCACCAGCCAAAACCCATCGGGAACAATATCTAAAAGAGTAGCCCAGACCTCCCCTTCTCCATCTGTTTTGGGCCATATCTCCCACCTTCTCTTGGCCATGTTGACTGGGGGTGATGGGAGTTGTAGTCTAAACCATTTGTAGGGCACCATCTTGGGAAAGCCTTGGCTAGACCAAATGAGGACACTCATTTTGAATTCTTCATTTTGGGAGTGCCTTGTGAGGCACCTCTGTGGAGTGCCCAGAAAGGTGTGGTCATGCAGATGAAGCTCATCTGTCCCTTAGATATGCTGGGGAGGTGTTGATCTCTGTGTTGCTTCCTGTTAGGTTTCAGTCTGAAGGGAGGTGGAGGTGTTGGCCTGATAGAGGCAATGCAGTCTTGTCTTGGATTAGGATTTGGGCAGCAAGGGTCTGAGATAGATAGATGTGCTCTGATTTAAGATATATAAGCTGTTTCTGTGGTATCTGAAACACTAGAAAAGGGTGATATCAGCACTACCTAGTCAAGCTGAAAGTCGCTGTCTAGTGAAACAGAAAGTGAGACTGGAGCCCACCATCTTAAAGAACAGAGCAGAACCAATGGTTAGTTATTAAATTCACAGTTCACAGCCAGTAAAAGGAAAACTGGCTTACAGAGTTCTCAACAGCCTGTACTGTACCATTTTTTTAGTGCAAACTGCCCCTAAATTGTCCTGCCAGTGAGGAATTTCACAGCTTCTTTAAGAAAAATTGTTGTTTTGCCTTTTATTTCCCTTTGCTTTTAGAGTAGCCTACTGCCATGGCACCTGGCTGTCCCTTTTGCCTATGTAGGGTAAAAACTTTCTCTATAATACATGGATGTTAGAACTAATCTGAGATATTTTACAAATAGATTCTGCTACATTGTCATTCTACTTAGGGTTGCCATATGTCCTCCTTTTCCAGGACACACCCTCTTTTTCATGGGTGTGTAAAATGAGTGTCGTCACAGCAATCCATAGTTAAAAGTAAAAGTTGGCAAATGTGTCCTCTTTTTTGCTCTCCAAAATATGGCAGCCCTATCTACCCCCCTCCCCACTTTACCAGGCAAAGTTGCTGATTTAAAATGGAACCAATATCCCACATGTACAGGTCTTTTAAGGTTTTTTTAAGAACACTTTTTGCAGTATTGTAAGCTACACCACAGACTGTGGAGCTGTGTGGTGAGGGATAAATGGCAAAGGAGAAGCAAATCAAGCTTATTACATTATTCCAGAGTCTTTGGTCTACCCAAAAATGGACTTGGAAATGTAGTTTTCAGAGAGCGCAGAGAAAATGACAATTCCTAGCATGCCTGGCACCAGGCTCAGAGTGATAGCAGCACCAATGCCATGTGAAGGAAGGAGGAGAGACCTACCCCCCTTGTCACTACCAGGGCTGCAGAATCAGCAGCGAGGTTGACTTTTGGGTGAGTGAGAGAATTTGAAGGCAGGGGGATAGGTTAGAGGAGGGATTTGACCCTGTTGGACCTTCAGCTGGAAGCATACCTGAGTTTCCAGAGCGACTCTCTTGAAAAATAGCTGATCACATAGTCAGACTTTTCCTAGACTGTATCATTTCAGACTGCAGATATGGAACTGTTCGGTTGAATGCTGTCCCATATTTCTTTTTTTAAAAAAAATAAAAAATCCCTGCACATAAAAGAGGTTTCGGGAACCCCCTTCTATCCTGACATCTTGTTTTCCCAGGCAGCTGACTGAACCCTGTTGGAGACCAGGGTTTCTGAAGCCTTTAAACGGCATTAATAAAATGGCATTAATAAAAACATAATGTCATCACTGTAATCTTCCTTGCTTGGTTATGGGGAATGGCTGTGATTTAGTATGCTGCTCAAGTCTTAGCCTGTTTCCTGTAGCTAAGGGGTGTAAGGGAGAGTGTGTCATGAGATTCAGTTATGCCTAACACTTCATCTTTGAGTTCTGCCTCCTACTCTCTTTTGTGCATGATTGACAGCTGTGAAGGATTCAGGCATGCATAGCTTGCCATTTCCCCTTGTACGTAATTTGGGGAAAGGGGTTAGACCCATTATTGTGCAGTGAGCCACACATGAGACACCCTTCTCAGCTTGCATGGCACACATACTTGTGGTTTGAGCCTCTAGGGCTTGCCACTTGAAAGGTTTGTGGTTCGAATCCGCTCGACAGTGGTGAGCTCCCGTTGCTCTGTCCCAGCTCCTGCCAACCTAGCAGTTTGAAAGCACACCAGTGCAAGTAGATAAATAGGTACTGCTGTGGTGGGAAGGTAAACGGCATTTCCGTGAGCTCTGTCTTCTGTAACGGTGTTCTGTTGCGCCAAAAGCGGTTTAGTCATGCTGGCCACATGACCCGGAAAGCTGTCTGTGGACAAACGGCGGCTCCCTCGGCCTGAAAAGTGAGATGAACGCCACACCCCATAATCGCCTTTGACTAGACTTAACCATCCAGGAGTCCTTTACCTTTTACCTCCCCCCTCCCCCAACTTAGGGTGTCTAAGTGTAGTCATAATAAGCTAGTAGCATAAGAACAGAAGAACAATCCTGCTGAATCAGGCCAGTAACCCACCTAGTCCAGCATCCTTTTCTCACAGTGGCCCACCAAATGCCTGTGGGAAGTCTGCAAGTCGGACCTGAAATCAACAGCACTTTCCCCATTTGTGATGAAGTGGGGGCAGCTACTTTTAAACCTAGATTATTTCCCTAGTTAAAAGCATCAATCACCCTCCTGAAACTTTGTGGATGAAACTCAGCTATTTGGCAGGTATAACTTTTTGTTCCCCACTCCTTCCATTTGTTTCCTCTCTTCCCGTGTCCGGGAGGGAAAGATATATTGATCATGAAAACCCCCATTTGGAACCTCAGCGTTTTGGCCATTAAGGTTTCCATACCGAAGAAAGAGGCATCGGACTAACGTCCTTGGCAACTAATTATTGTTTTACCTTATATATCTTATCTGTTGAACCTATGATAAATTCTAAAGGAAATAGTAGCAGCAAAAATAAGTGTGCAGAGTTGCTGGACGTGAGGCATAGATGTCAGCCAAGGTGGCCTGTGGTGAGTTAACCCAGCCTCAATAGCGACTGGGTCTACTTTAAGACATGCAGCAAGAGTGTGCTGGATCCAGTGTGGTTGGAATATATTAACACAATAAAGCAGTTTTAACTTTGTGTGTGGTTTCCATAACATGGAAGTGATCACTGCATACATTTTTAGGTGCTTGCAGAACATCACCTGTTGTCCTCACTCTAGAAACAGAGCAATGATTATGGAGGCAGACCAAAACCCCTTCTTCATTTATGGTTCCAAAACAGCAATGTACCATAGGCATGGTTTCATCAAGCTATCACCTAGGGGTCATGGAAATTAGGCCAGCTGTCATGTATTACTTAAGTGAAGCCTAGGCCATGATAGCTTGTGCCATAATACATGTAGAGGTATTTAAGGTCTCCTGCTTCACTTGCTAAATTTCTGCCTATCAGGTCATTGCCAGGAACAGGGCCTCACTCCTGTACCTTTGCCAGCAGTCTGGAAAGCAGAAATTTAGCAGGTAAATCGGAGAGAAAGTGATCGTAGAAAACATTATCTGCTTTATTTCTTCTTGACAAGGCTGCAGGGGCAAGACCATCTGGGTCACATGACTGAAAAAGGAGCAGTGCACTCTGGGTAATATGCACAACTTTTCTTTTTGGGTAATGCACCCATGGAGGGTTTAGGATGGGATCTGGGGGAGTTCCTTACCTTTCCCCATGGTGTCTTCAGCTGAATGGCAGCCTTAAGTGTCTGGACAGGTTTGTAGTTGCCCTGGGGGGCGGAGGAGAGAAGGGAAGTGGGGAGATGACTTGAGAGACAGTGGAATATTGCTACCCCATTAATTAGCAGGTTAGGCCCCTAAAACAATGATGGCAATATGTGACATTTTCAAGAATGCAGTCGGTGGGGTCCTGAGGGCCAGGTAGAGAGGGTTGGGGGGGGAGGCAAAGGTTCTGCCCCCTCTGACTTTAAATTAAGTCATAGCAGCAATTTATCTAGTTTAAAAGATTTGGGTTTTCATTCTTCCAACACCATCTCAGCTGTGAGAATTTGTTGCCATTTATTTAATTTGATCTTGAGATTGCCAAGCTCTAATTGGATGATCATGTTATATATACATTTGGAACAAAGTCTTTTTTTGTTTTCCTTCCGGTGGTCACAAATTTTAGATCATCCTCTCAATATATTAGTTTCATGTAGTTCAACAGCACGGCTCTCAAAAGTCTTGCTATAACAATACTTTTGACTGCTTACACAGCTCTTCAGTCTCGACCATGACCAATGCCAAGTAAGCTTTGTTCCATCTCAGGATCATATGAAGCTGTTTTCCTTTCTTGGATCAACTGTTAAAATCTTTCTGGAGGACTAAGAGTCTGTCACAGGTCTTGCCAACCTTTTGGGGTCAGTGGGCGCATTTGGAAGTCGAGCGCCCATCACAAAATGGCTGCCGTGAGCCTGTGGGAAAACACAAAAGGTGGGCCTCGTGAGGGTGCAGGAGAGGATGAGACAGTGCAAACAGGAACAGAATAGTAATAGCGAACAGTCTCACACATTGTGAATTTTTGAGGAAATATTTACTGAAACCTTTCATGGACGCCATAGGAGGCATTGGAGTGTGCACTGGCACCAGCAGGCGCTTTTTTGGGTACCTCTGGCCTGTTGTTTGGAATGTACCTGTTCATAGCCTCAGGTGATCACGTTCGCCAAAATCCTGCTCAATGCATCTCTCTCCCTATAGTCCAGCCTCAGGCTGTCAGGAATGAACCCTGGTCTACACAAACAGCTCACCATATGGGGAAACTTATCTTGGGCTACACAGTTAATTATTCCCAACAAATTAATGCCATTGTCACAGACATTTCCTTTCTTTCTGGCTTCAGTGTTTATTTCCTCCCCATCCTACACCACCTGCCAGTGGAGGATAACACTTTCTCAGATAAAGTCCATGAAAGTCTTATGCCATGGTAATTTTGCTAGTCTTTAGCACCAGCTAGCTTGTACCAGCTAGGAGAGGAGGGTGTGGGGATTGCTTTTTTTCTCTTGGTAGATCTTTCTTTCTCTAGCAGTTCTTGGGGGGGGGGGAGAGGGGTTAGTTACTTCAACTCCAGGCTGCCATGATGGTGGGAGATCCTGATCCTGGGGCCATTCTGAGAAACAAAGAAGACAAAGATCTGGGCAATCCAGGACCACATCTGTCCCACCCTCAGAAAACTTCCATTTTGTGGCCTAAAGAACCACCCATGATAGAGCTGTTTACATTGAGCTGGCCTTAAGAAGGCACCTTGTGGTCCTCCATGAAGCTCCCCTCAGCCAGTGGATCTGGGGGATAGGATTGTGCTGTCTCATCCCTCAACCTTAGCTCACCCATTTTTAAATACACAAATAAATTGGGCGGCCTACAGTACAGGGTAATGATTCCTGAGCTCATCATGTGAAGTGCTTTAAGCAGGGAACATTACTCTATAAAATATTATGGCAGGAAATTGGTATGGAATACATTTGGCTTCTTCCAGTTCCCTGAAATCAAAAGGGAAGATTATGCTGCTGGTAACTCCTGCTTCTTCTTCTGTGAAACAGAGGCTTTTATTAGCTTTGTAAGTGTCAAAATGATGAGCAGTATAAGTGATAGTTTGCCTGTGAAAGTGTCTATGAAAGTACAAGTCATTCATGCTTACAAAATAAACAGCTGAGTTGACTGGAAGCAGCCACTAGGAGGCATAAAAGCACTATGGTCATGTTATAAATCCCTATTTTATTTATTCTATTCTATCTTTATTTTCATTTTCATTTAAACTGCTTAATACTTTGAGAATGTACAAACTGCTATGTGAAGAATGCATGTGAAGAAAGCAATTTTAGGATAGCAAAATATTGTGGCACAAATCTTTCAATGACTAGGATAGAAGGGGTTTAGTCATGCTGGCCATATGAACTGGAAAGCTGTCTGTGGACAAACACTGGCTCCCTCAGCCTCAATGCCTGAAGTAAGACTGGACTTAACCGTCCAGGGTGTCCTTTACCTTTATTTTATTTTATTTTATTTTATTATTTACACACACACACACACACACACACTCCTACCCAGTCTCACATACTAAAAATATGTGGTTTTATTTATCATTTAGTCTAAGCCCACAAGAGAAAAATATTTTCTAATAGGTAGCAACTACTTTTTCATTCAATTTTTTTTTGGCCTTTTCTCAAGATAATTAACTGCCACAAAGTTAATATTCATATTACTGCTTGTATGAAGAAAAATGAAAGTTTATTTTATCCTTACTAGACAAAATGTATATATTTTTAATCATTTCAAGATAAGGCAGGATTGCCAAGACAAGAAGGTGGGCTGAGGGGCTGGTACTACTGTAAATCAAGTGCTGTCTGCCTGTGTGTGCATACCTTCATAACCTGTAAATATAGGTAAATTTATGTTATGTAAATGCCCGGGCTACATGGTCCTTTATCAGGGATGCTGTAGTTTCCTGCAGGAGATTGGACTATTTGAGGCTCCTTCCAACACCATGAAATACATATATACACAGGTTCCATAAGTCTCCAGTGCTTTCTTCTACAACAGGAAACTCACCTTTGAAAAACCCATGCCCAAACTGGCCAGTGGTCAATGCTCAGGCAGGTGGGGAGCTGTAGTCTAGCAACATCTGGAGGGCCACAGGTCTCCTCACCCCACAACTAAGGGCTCCTTGGTTATGTGTGTATTGGAAAGCTGTGGCTGTCACAACCTGTAGTTAGTTGCTTTAGAAATAATGCAGTTGAAAGACGGGGTATAAATATTCAAAAACAAACAAATCCAAAGCGCAGGAAAAGGAACCTTTGGTTCTCACCTGAAAGGTGTTTCTTGAGGTGTTAAACATACAGCATGGGTTTTTTGGATGGTGCTGCTCTCTTGCGGCTGAAGATAGGAAACACAGACTGGTCTTTGTCCTTTACACATGCCTACCACCTCTGTTGAATGACAAGCTACAGGAATGGGCTAAATAACTTTGAACTCACTCATGGAGAATGGTGCTAATGCGAACAACATTGAACTGAATGAAGGAATAACACAATGGATCCCTGAAGAGCAGGAAAACATGTATAAAATAGAAGAGTCTTCCTCAACCAAGTGCCTTGTCCATATTTTGGACTACATCCTCCATCACCCTCTGCTAGCTATAGCTGGTAGGAGTCGGAAGACCAAAACACCAGGAGGGCACCATGTTGGGGGATGCAGAAATAGTGTGATGGAGGAAAGCACACACTGATTATGCACTCATGTGTATCATGCACTTCCAGCATTCATTGTCTGTGCCATTTCCTGGCAGTTATTAAGAGATCTAGAAATTGCAAACCTAAGGAATTGGAGGTAAGCAAGTTCCCTCCCCCCAAAAAGCAGTGCAGATGGCTAATTAAAAGTGCTTACATTTAAATTACAACACTTAACAGAATATGCTTGGATGATCGTTGAACTGAAAAAGTGCTTTCATACGGAATTGTTACACATACTACTCAATAATAAGCTGGAGGTTTTATTTCAGACAGTTAAATACAGCTATGGTGTTTTATGCTCTGTATAAAATGAGCCGAGTGCTGGGCTGCTCTTGGAAGGTAATTTCAATGTTTAATAAAAGGAGACTGGTGGTTTAGATTTTTTAAAGGGTATGAGATCTTATCAGATTAGCAATTAACTTTATGGCACTTGGATTAATGCAAGAAATCATCTCAGCTGAGATTTATAGACCTACGAAGTAAAATAAAATACGTGCAATGGGCATGATCCAGCCAGGTTTAAACATCTTTACGATTGTAATATTAATTGAAAGAAATCAATGGGATTTCTAAGCAAATATGCTTAGTCCCAGATTGTGACATGCCACTGGTTTCTGCAGGGAAGTTAAATATGTGTATAGTCTTGACTCTTTCCCATTTAGACTTAGGGGGCCATGGATCAACTATTTTAAGGAGTCATCTAAGGCTGCCTGGTCCAGGCCCAAAGATGCAGAATCCTAAGAGTCCATCAACAGTCTGCATGGGTACAGCAGACTGAGAAAGCACATAGGTCACCTAATAACAATCTTCTACCGGCAGGAACGGCTGGAATGGCTCTGCTTCTGTGCTTGTGCTGCACTGACATCCCCATTATCTCACCCCGCCCAGTGAGCAACACTGACCCGTCTGCTAGGAAGCTAGCACCACCAGGTACGCTGCTTCTGCATCTATACACATTATTATATGCAAATCTGTGTTCTCCTTTTGTGTGTGTGATCCATTTCCTTTTTTAAAAAAATGTGGATGTAAAGACATTTCACTATAGCTGTATTATACATTTTCTTTGCGGGTCCGTGATTTTTAAAAGTCCTATTATTTTGTACAAGACCACTGGTGGCAGGCCTGACAGGACAGCTTCCTTTTCCCTGGTGAATGCTGTTTTCTGTTTTTCATCCAGCCCACAGCAACAGTATGTCTCTCAATTCTGGATAGCAGTCTCTGAAGACAGCAGTACCCCTAAGCTGGGCAGAGCCCTTCAGCCCCTACAGGCATGGCCAAACTTGGCCCTCTAGCTGTTTTGGGGCTACAACTCCCATCATCCCTAGCTAACAGAACCAGTGGTCAGGGATGATGGGAATTGTAGTCCCCAAACAGCTGGAGGGCCAAGTTGGGCCATGCCTTCTTAGAAGGAAGGTGGCCAGATGCAAACGAATTCCAGAACCATGCTTGATACTGTAGTTGTGTACATGAGGGGATGGCAAGCATAACTGCTGCTATTCTCTCTTCTGCACAACAAGTAAAGATGCAAGAGCGCTATCCACCTTTTCAGCTGGCCAACCAACTAATAACACTTAAACCTCTTAATATTCATACTGCTAAATGTACCTATACAAACAAACAAAAAACCCCTGCTTCCTAATCTCGTATCTTGTCCAGGTTTTATTGGCAGATTTACCTGGAAAGTAGAACGTGTGATTTCTCCAAAATTGTGTAAGATAGAAACTAGATACATATAGTTCATTTTTGGTGCTGGTTTTGCACTTCACTGTTTACTTCCTCTGATCACTGTCACACATTTCAAATTATTTTTTGGTGACTGACCTGTGATGGCAGATTCGCTCACCCAAGTCATCAGTTGATGATACAGCAGTAAATGGATGATGGGCAGGCCTGTGCACAGAAGTCCTTTGTGTTTCAGGTTTGAGGTGATAAATCCCTGGTTGAGTTTTCATGCAATCACATTCAGTGATTTCGTAATCAAGCTTTTGAGAGGCCCAAATTCTAACAAAGCACCCTTAAACTCATTCTCTTTGAAGGAGAAGCTTTTTATAAGGGGTTATGCAATGGAGACATTTCTGACAGTCTCTAAATTGTGTTTAATACAGGATTTTTACATAATGGATGGCAAAATTTGCATGCAGCATCTGGAAAAAATTATACAAACAGGCTCTCAGCATTCTGTTACAAGGTTCCTCATCATGTGAGCCATTTGGCATCTCATTACACTGTTAGGCAATGCTTAGCACTTCTGTTAGATAATTTGCCAGACACACTGTACCAATCATGTCTATCACTCCTGGGTTGCCACACTTGTTTCTGACATGGCTCCTGTGTCTTTAGTAGCACTATGGCAGCCAGGCAGACATCACTATATACAGTCCTTCCTGTCAAGAGCAGCCCGCGACTTCCATAAACACTGCCCCAGCAAAAACTACCACAGCAAAACAATGTAGGAAGCAGCAGTTATGAATTACCAAATTCTGCAGCTCCCTGGAGGTGCACTCCATTGTCTCTTGACACAGATGGATGCCAACCACAAATATATTTATTTAGGTAAAACAACAATTGGAACAAATAACCTTTTAGTAAAGAATGACAAATATTGCATCTATTCATAATATAATGTAACATATTATCTCTCTCTCTCTCTCTCTCTCTCTCTCTCTCTCTCTCTCACACACACACACACACACACACACACTCTACCGTATTTTTCCATGTATAAGATGCCCCCATGTATAAGACGCCACCTATTTTGGAGGACTGAATTTAAAGAAAATGAGGGGAGAAGGCCCAAAGTTGTTGAGCTTTTTTTAGGGGGAACTACACTCACGCCATCACCCCAGCAGGGTTGGCAAAGTGGGCAGCCACTCCCTAGAGCCACTCCCTAGAGCACATGCCTCCCACAGTGGCATGGGGGGGGGACTGCGCGCCCGCCAACCAACTGGCTGGCAGCGCGCAGCTTTCCTCCCATGCCACTATCCGTGTATAGGACAACCCCCTTTTTTGACATGATTTTTGAGTTAGAAAATCTCATCTAATACATGGAAAAATACGGTATTTTATTCTATTTTACTGTACTGCACTACACTACACTTTTCGCTGTGAAGTGCTCTACAAATAAATAAAAGTAAATGAAACGTGATCACTGGTGGACTCCCTTCAACGAGTATCCTAACCAGCAGCCTTTTTGCTCTCTGATCTCACACTCTGCATAATTCCCAAACTGACCTTCTCAACAGACACTCTTTACCTATCACTCACTCCAGTGTCACCCACCATTCCATCACCCTAATCTTCTGTCAACCATCCTTCCACTCATTCATCTGTTCAATGACCAATTGTTTCCACACTGGTGCTGGATTTGTTTCCAAGGTCCAGGGTCCTTGAAATATGTTGCTTGTTCCCCACTAGCCTATCCTGGGTGGAGGATTCCTGGTGGAGTGGAGCTTGGTTTCTCTGGGTTAAGAGCACTGGAGACAGATTTTATTTTTTGTCATCTTTTTAATATGCATGTTACAAATAAGCAAGTTGGGCAGATGTAGAAGCAAACAGTAACTAGTGCTATAAGGCAACCAGTACCCTATCAACCAGCTCTTCCATTGGCCTCCAAGCCCTGCATTTTTCCACTGAGTACCATCAGAGAATCCTGGGAACTGTAGTTTACCCCTCACTGAGCCACAATTGGCAGACTCCTTAACAAACTACAATTCTGGGGTGGTGGTGGTGTTTAAATGCATGGTGTGCGCACAGCCCTAGGATAAATATGAAGGGCAGTATATAGTATATACTGTTTGGTAAATAAACAAGATGAAAAGAAGCTGCCTTATAGCAGGTTCCCAGAGAAGGGCCCTGCACTCCCAAGGTAAGATTTTGGCTTACCCAATACTTTCTCTCTCTCCCTCCCCCTGCCCCACCAAACTGGAAAACTGCTGTCTGTCTCTATGATGATGGGATTCCAGTAATCTCCTAGCAATTATTTCCCATTGGCAATATGTCAATCTGCCCATGTTGAGTTACGAATGAGCAATTTATGTAACCAAACTACTGGACAGCCAGCAATCATAACAATATTTTAAAAAGGTTTGGTAAGGTTCATCAACCGGAAATGTCAACGTGATGTGCAGTTAAAAGGCAGTTAAGGAATAGCCATGCACACACATATTTCTGCGCAAGCAAACAGCAAAACCTTTTGATTGCTTCCACAGTTTTCAGCTTTATACCTTGTACTTTTATATGTAAACCACTTTGTGATTTTATGCATTCCAACAGTATATAATTTTTATGAAATAAAATCTAATAAATAAATCAACCCAGCGGGAGGCAGGGGGCAGGTTGTCTGCAGCACAGTGACTGAGATGAGGAGTCTATAGGGCTGACAAAATCTCATAGGCACTTACCTCAGAATAAATCTCATTGAACTCAGTGGGACTCACTTCTGAGTAGAAATGTATAGACCTGCCCTCATATCCTGTGAACTTCCCAGAGGCAAACAGGATGCTCGATTAGATAGGCCTTGGACTGGATCCAGCAGGGCTCTTGTGTTTAGAGAGAAAGACAAAATGATGGGGGGGGGTATTAATACACTCAGGCACACTTACCTGGGAGTAAGTCCCACTGAACTAAATGGGGCTTCTTTCTGCAGAGACATGTTCAGGACTTCATAAGCTGTTTCTCATAGAACGAATTAGATTTGGAAAGCAGGCTGGCATGTCTCTGTGCAGGGCTGGTCCGCCCGTGAGGCAAAGTAAGGCTGTGGCCTCAGGTGGCGAGGAGGACGCTGGGCGCTTTGCCTCAAGTGGCAAAACATCCTGGGCCAGCCCTGTCTATCAAACATGGGCATTTGCATACATATTTAAAGCTCTGACTCCTATCATAGGTGGGGCGGAATCCCACATGCTTGACTGGAGCAGTCCCACCCACACATTGGAGGGACCGTGGTCCAAACCAACTACTTGGAGAACGGAGAGACTTTGCTCCCCATTTGCACATGTGTTAAGCCCCGGAAGCGTGAGCAGATGCTCAGTCCCGTTCCCGCCCCCCCGCCCCCGCCTTGCCAGCTCTCTACTTTTTCATTATGCTAATTATTCTTTTAAAATCATAAATAAATAATTAGGTCCCTGATCAAAGGGTAGATTTCTTGCTGCGCAGAAGAGATGTTAATGAGGCAGTTGAACTCACATGGCAGGAAGGCAACAGGTTTGTTCTTTAATTACAGGGAAGAGCTTTGGGGCTCCTTGGGCCGTTCTCTCGGCTCTCATTAGGCACCTCGCCCCCCTTGTAAAGCAGTGCAGTGTGTGTGTCTGCACAACACATCTACAGGAGTGGTTTTTGGTGTTTTCATGTTCATTCACTTTCTTTGCACTTTCGCTTTGCTTCTCTACACGAATGAAAGCTGAGGAGGGTTTGGGACCACAGGATGCATCTTACACAAAGAGGTGTAACTTCTAAAGTACTCTGAAATGACCAGTTCTTGAGCCACCTTTCTGACCATATGAGGAAAGCAGAATCCTGGCTGTACTTCCTTAAGGATCTGCATCAGCCTTGTGTTCCCAACCAAGACATTACCTTACTCTGAATAGTTGCAGGAGTATTTGTAGTAAGCATGGAGTTCTAATTTACCTAACCAGGGAGACCAGCAATCTTGCCAAATTTCCTAGCATGATCCATCTTTTTTAGGAATGGTGGGAGGAGCACAGAGGAGCATGCTGGAAATGTCCTGACAAGTTCATATCTCTCCAGCGATGAGGACTAGAACTTTACAAGAAATCAAACCTGGGGTTTTCAGGATTGTAGCAACAGTTTTGCAAATCATAACAACAGCCTAAGAGGCGGCAAGTAAGTTGTCCACAGGTCTTAAGTGCCTGCTCTTGCTGATTTGCTCACTGAGTGCCAATCATTGGGAGGAAATATCATTAGGCATTAATCTATTTATTTTTACTTTGTTATAAAGCATCAGTGACTAAAAGTCTCTGGACAGAGATTCACGATCAGGTTTAGAGATATGCCTCTGCTGAAATGTATGTCCTTTCCTTTCATGCATCTGCATTCAAATTGCTTTGATTTCCCAGAGCACAAAAAAAAGAGTTAGCCTCAGATTTATAGAAGGAATTTTTGCTCTGATCATTAGCAAAAATTACTTCTGTCACGAGCAAATCCAAATGGACAAGTGGCTTTAATAATTTTCTTCCCACTTGCAAAATAACACTAATATTAATAAGTGACTTACACTCAGAAGGGACAAGTCAGCCTGAACATTTTAAATTGCACAGTTTAATCATTTGAGCAAGACCGGTGAAGAAAGATTTATTAATTCATTGAAAATTTAAGAAGTATATTTTTCTTGGAGCAGTTTTACTCATCATTCTGAGAAGCAACAAAGAGGGTGAAAATCTAGTCACAGGAGAGGACAGGATATTTCAGGAAATGGATTAATGGCATTGGTACTATGAAAAGAAGAATCGTATGCATTTTCAACCCTGCTGGGGACTGTGATAAAATAATCTGGTCTGATTCGGTGCATAATTTAGGCCCGGGGATCTCTGTTTCACTGAGAGAGCAATTGCATGAAACTTCTCTCCTGCTAGGTAGCCACTGTGATATAGCAGAATGCTGGACTTTTTGACAAATGGATTAATGCACCATCCATCCCTATCAGGTAGTACAGGCTGTGACACCCTTTGTTCCCTATTCCAAGGCAGTGCATTTTTAGTCCTTTGCCTGAATACACAGACAGTTCAGGTTTCCAGCTTACACTTCTGGAGAAAGACATGCCTTTTTACAGGGCTTCCAAGTTTAAACCCCATAACCAACCTGGAGGTGAAGATTTTAAACAGTTTTTAACTTACAAAATGTATGGTGTTTTAAAAAGTAATGGAAGAGGGAAACTTTGGAACTCACTTTACAGGAGACACTGCACAGCCTATATTTCCATACTTTGCTTTGCTGCATATTCTGTGATTTAAATCTCTGCTAGGGTTCTCTCATCAAAGAGGACTTGCCCCAAACCTGGATCTTGGCATCTAGGAAACTCTCCTTTTTTATACCTATATTTTTGCTTGCCAACCAACAAAAGCTGGGGTATAATAATAATAATAATGTTAGTATGCTTACTAACAAGGACCTAGGCAGAAGTCTACCAACAAGGACCTAGGCTGATAAAATCAACCAGGCTCAGCTCCAGGGTTTCAATTATGTGCATTTATTTAACGATCAAAAGAGATTAAGAAATGTTGGAACTGCTTTCTAAAAGAAAAAAAAGAAAAAAAACAGAATTAACAAGCTAACCTTTCCTTATCAGGGAACCTAAAAATAGAATAACTTACGTTTCAACACCACTTACAGGCAGGCCGATGGGAGCCGGGCTCTTAATGATAACATATTTTGGCCTTGACTCTCAGCCCATCACATGAGAACTGTTACCATTAAGAGCCTGGCTCCAGCTATTTCTATAGAGGGTGAGAACTCCCCAAGAGAAAGGGGAAATTCAGATGCTCGTCAAATAGCTTGAAGGTGGGTTCTGTGGGTTCCTTTCCAGGCATGGCCAAACTTGGCCCTCCAGCTGTTTTGGGATGACAACTCCCATCATCCCTAGCTAACAGGACCAGTGGTCAGGGAGGATGGGAATTGTAGTTCCAAAACAGCTGGAGGGCCAAGTTTGGCCATGCCTGTTTTAACCATTGGTGAGTTATAACCCCCATCTGCACTCTACATTCAAAGCGGGACCATACCACTTGGTTTCTGCCATAGAATCCTGGAAAGTGTAGCTTGTTAAGGGTGCTGATCCCTTGGAGGAATCTGGTGTCCTAAGTCAGAGCAGACAGTCCTGGGCCAGATGGTGCAATTCATTGTAAGGTAACTTCACATACTGTATATCTCAGCCTTAATGTTAATCTGTAGCCTGTAAAGAACGCCAGTGCACTCAAGTGGCCCTAGCCTTCTTCTGGGGAGTCAGCCATTATCCAAAGATAACTGGAGGCTGGTCAGTTTCTTGGCCCAATTAAACATGTTGCTTTTAACCACTGAAGCTCTAAACAGCTTGGGGCTTACTCAAAGGATCCTCACCTTATTCCATATATACCTACATGATTGGTCCTCAAGCTCTTCATTTGACCCCTTCTCCAAGTTTCCTTGCTACCAAAATGCAATAGGTGGCCACTAGGGAGAAGGCCTTTTGGGTGGTTGTAACCCATTTCCGTAGTGTCCTCCTGCCTGGTGCTACATTATGGCACCTGGTAAACACATTTGGTAAACACAAATACATTTGGCACCTGGTAAAGGCATTTCTTATTCCCTCAGGACTTTAAAGTATAACAGTGCTGTTTTGCGTGCTTTGTAAATTCTTTCACTAACTCCTCCCCCCCTTGCTGGTTTTATATATTGATTTTATTTATGCTGCTTGTGTTTATCTTGGCTGTTATGTTTTCTGTTCTTGTGCTGATTGTATATATTGTTTATTTATACCATGTTTAAATTTTTCTGATTGCATTTTTAATAAGCTTGTAAACCACCCAGGGGACTTAGCTGATGGGCAGTATAGAAAAGCAATAAATAAATGAAACAGGCATATAGGGCATAAAATGCATCTTTTGGCACGTCTAAGTGCTGTTGGGTGCCATTATTGGAGACACAGTTATCAATGTTTTCCTGCCTGGGCAGTGAGCTGCTAGGTTGCTAATTAGAACATTTGTTAGCTTCTGCTGCAGGAAAACATTTGTTGCTGCCAGCCATTTCTTCCATTTAAATAATATCTCAGATCTCCCCTTTTCAATGAAGTAGCCCCCAGTCATAGGTTGGAATCTACTGATCAGTTCCATTTACAAAAGAAGCCTTCCAAAAGTGTTAAATATATAGCAATTTACCCCAAGTGGATTTTTATTTGGAACCAGATGGCATTTAGGCTGTTCTAGTCAGATGGAAAAAAAGAGGAAATAATTAAATACAGATTATTCTGTGCAAAGAGGGCTGGTCTATAATTTTTATTTCTGGATTTTAGCTATTAGGTCTTGTAGGATATTTGTTGAGTACTTGTGGTTGCAATCTGATATATACACCCTTACCTGGGAGTTGCCTGTCCATGTAACTCAATAAGGCTTAAAGACCTTAATTTTGAGTGTAGGCTTGTACAGTCAATCTTAAAATTGATGAGGTCTGGAACTTTTATCCTTTGTTACCGAGCAATGCAGTAAGTTGTAAAAGCAACTACTCTATAAAGGTCTAGTAGCAACAAAGTCCCCCACCCCACCCCGCACACCTTATTAGTGCAAGCTGCATCTATTGGTTCTGCAAGATGTCCTTAGAAAAGAAAGTTGTCCTTAGAAAAGAAAGTAATTATAATTTGGGGGGTTAACTCTGTTTCAGATGAGAAAATGGCAATGTGAGTGTGCTAAGTAACAAAATACAGCTGGATCTTTATAAGAACTGTTCAAGTATATGCTCCAGCTACACACTGGTTGAAAACCACTGGTTTACTAGGTATGATTATTGCATATCACATCTGATAAGGTATGCACCAATTTCACCTGCTTATATGTGCAAGTACAAGGAAAACATACAAGGAGAAGCACAGATTGCACACTCTTTGTAGAGAAATGCTTGTGTCCATGCTGCTATGTCCAGGGGATAGTCAATGTGATGTCCTCTAGAAGTTGCTGGACTTGCATCAGCTCCAGCCACTATGGCTTATAGCCAGGGGTCACAGAATTGGAGAGTTGGAAGGGATCGTGAGGGTCATCTAGTCCAACCCCCTGCAATGCAGGAATCATTTGCCCAACTCAAATCTATGACCCTGAGAGCCTCATGCTCTACCCACTGAGCTATCCAGTGGATGATGGGAGTTGTAGTCCAACAACAACTGGAGGCAGTGGCTACAGGTGATATTTTTATTTGGTAGGGCTGCATCTTTTAACCTTGCTGTTTCCCTAACAATAAGACTTCTACAGCACTTACATAGGAAAGTGTGCCATTACACAGGCATAGTTCCATTGTTTTCTCACTGAAAAACATCCATTGTTCTCTGCACATCTATGGACCAGGGAAGAGCTTCCACTTATGATTTTCAGACCAGATTGATTCCATACTTCTCATTTAGAAAATAAGCTACACCACATAACATACATTTTTGAACCAGGTTTTGTTTACTCATTCATTGCCAAAAACCTAAACAAATAAAAAAGCTTTTAAGATGTAAGGAATACTTGTTCTAATTGCATGCAGTTTTCCTACTCCATTAAAAAAAAATTCATTCTAACGTTCCATTATCCAAAACACTTCTTTCTCTAAACTAAAATGAGGTATTGGAAACAGATCTCTATTTTTTGCAACTACTCTGCTTGAATTGCACATGGTTCAGAGAAACCTACCCCACCCAACACAGTTGCTGCTGCTACTGCTTTTAATAAGTAAATGCAGCCCAATGGTTAATACAGATATTGTTGCAACACATATACAACCCACCCACCATTTCTTTTCCTGCCCCTTACCCCATTCACAAAAATAAATTCAAAATTATTAAATAAGAAATAGGTGGGTATTTATTATATTTACTGTAGAAAGGGACTTAAACTGTATCCACCGTTTCTCTTTCTTCCCCTCTCCACTGTAAACTTAGAATCATAGAATTGTGGGGTTGGAAGGGACCTCGAGGATCATCTAGTCCAACCTCCTGCAATGCAGGAATCTCACCCAAAGCATCCATGACAGATGGCCATCCAACCTCTGCTTGGAAACCTCCAAGGAAGGTAAGTCCACCACCTCCTGAGTCTGTTCTACTGCTGAACTGCTCTTCCTGATTTATTCAGAGAGTAAATTTACTCTCCCTCCCAAAGGGCCTTGAAGCTTTTGTGAAAAATACCTGCCAAGAACAACAGGGAAACTGGATATTAATTCTTTAGTAGAAATTGCATGTAAAACTAATACTATTTGAAAAAAACACTTCAAATTAGGGAATGCTCACTGCTGCTTCTTTGGGTCAGGAGGTGTGATCTTCTATGATTCAGACAGACCTTGTAGGGCTATCTTGAGGCAGATCTACTAATGTTGTACAATGACTGTATGCAGTGTACTTTTTGTTGCTTTTTTTGCTCATATCTTGATAAAAGTGTCATAGGTACCTGCACAAAATGGCTACCAGTGGCAGGAAGAATAGAGGTGATGGTACTTTGTACCAATGAATACCATCACAAAATTTGCATTTGTTTCTTCCTATATGCATAAAAATGTAAGGCTGTCATCACATGGCAGTTTGTATGATTGCCAATAGTTCACCGTTTGCAGTATGCCAAATGGCAGGTGGCCCAGGTGAGTTGTTGAACTGAGGGGGTTGGATGTTGTGAAGGACCTCCCCCTCCTTTAAACACACACCCTGTGAGGTTAATTGGCAGGGGAAAGCACTTCAAACAGTGCTGTGTGAAGTACCTCCTTCCTTTTAAAGGGGATGGGCTTTGGGCAAGCAGTGAGGGGACAGGTGAGGTGTAAAGGATGGGGAGTTGGAAAGGGGGTAGATAGGGTTGGCAAGCAGGAGTGGCAGCGCCTAGTATTTATATATATTTATTGGCATTTAGATACCACCCAAATGACCCATGTCCTCCCTCTGGGAAGTTCACAAGATAATGAAATGAAAATGCAACAAACTAAAAGCAATCGATACCGTGAAGCTGTACCAGCACAAAAATCAGCACAAACAGCTCTGCATTAAACTACACAAAGCATCTTCATTTGTAGTGGAGCTGTATTATCCTTGGTGAACAATCTTTCCCTCTGGATCATCAGTCTTCCATATTTTCTATTTTTGCTAAAAATAAAAACACCGTAATGAACTGGATGAGCAAAGAGAGCAGCTAGATGGATCAATTCACACAGAAGGAGTGTTTGAGTACAGAGAATGCATCCAGTTTTCTGACACTGAATGCATACAGGTAGCAAAAATTTAGAGAAAAGACAAAATGATTGATAATAGTGGCATCAGGTATACTCAGCTGGCAGTTTTCATCCCGGGAGATTGGAAGGATAGTTTGTTGGCAAGATATTTAGATGTGGTGAAAATGTGGTTTTCTCCTGATTAATGATGTTAGTCACTGAATCACCAGGTTTCAAAAGTAATTAATTGATTATCAAATACTAGGGCTGTCATCCCATTAAAGAAATCTTAACTGATTAAACATGAGAGTTTTAACTGACTGATTAGTGAATTAAATCTGCATATATCTGCACTTAAAAATGATAAAGGATTATTTACTGCTGCTTAGATGGTGTTCAGTTGGCAGTTGTCACCCACTGACAATCACAGCAACAACCAACTTAGAAGAGGCAGGCCCTTGTGTGTGAGGGAGAAGAAAAGAACTCCTGCTTAGATTCCCTCGTAATAGCTCAGTTGGTTAGAACGTGGTGCCAATAACATCAAGATCGCAGGTTTGATCCCCATATGGGACAGCTGCATATTCCTGCATTGCAGGGGGTTGGACTAGATGATCCTCAGGGTCCCTTCTATGATTCTGTAGCGGGTCCCCCTCTACAGTTCTGATTCTATGTACACAACTATTAAAGGTGCAGAGCCCTGCCATATTTGTTACCTGGCCACCCTAGAGAGGCATGTACACCTCTTCTAAGCATTAGGCTAGAAGTGTGTCTTTGCATCTAAATACAGTACAGGTTTTTGACATGTGCATTCCATCAGCTGGCAGGGGGCTGGTAATTTACAGGATTGGAACAGGCATGGGTTCCCTGCTTGCAGTACTTAGGAAAATCCTTCATCTGAAGCTAGTAGGGGATTCTAGGGTGGTGAAAATCCCCCATTGTGGAAGATGGTGAAGTGTTAGCAGGCACAGAGAGAAGACGGAACTACTCAGCTCTTATTTGGCCTTGGTTGGGTTTCTTCCTTCAAGGGAGATTGTATTTGGCCTGGAAAAAAGTGGAAGCAGAAATTTGAAATCCAGGATATGCCAGGATATGATTAGAGAATACCTAGCCTAGCGGGTGGCGCTGTGGGTAAAAGCTCAGCGCCTAGGACTTGTCGATCGCATGGTCGGCGGTTCGAATCCCCGCGGCAGGGTGCGCTCCCGTCGTTTGGTCCCAGCGCCTGCCAACCTAGCAGCTCGAAAGCACCCTCGGGTGCAAGTAGATAAATAGGGACCGCTTACTGGCGGGAAGGTAAACGGCGTTTCCGTGTGCTGCGCTGCCTCGCCAGATGCAGCTTTGTCACGCTGGCCACGTGACCTGGAAGTGTCCTCGGACAGCGCTGGCCCCCGGCCTCTTAAGTGAGATGGGCGCACAACCCTAGAGTCTGGCAAGACTGGCCCATACGGGCAGGGGTACCTTTACCTTTACCTAGCCTACTTTAAATGCATTAAAGACTTGGAGACAGCTTAATTACACCCAAAGGTGCTTGCAGCTATTATATCAGTGCTGTTGCCAATATATAATCTTTGAGAATTCTTGGAGAACTGCTGAGGTACTAGAAGACTGGAGATGGGCAAATATTACCCTTATCTTCAAAAAGAGGAGAAAGGCAGATCTGATGAAATATGGACTGGTCAGCCTGGTGTCAGTACCAACAAAAGTTCAATGTAAAACATATTAATAAGCTGTCTAGGAGCATCTAAAAAGAAAAGTGTTGTTGTTATTATTATACCCTGCCCATCTGAATGGGTTGCCCAAGCCATTCTGAGCAGCTTTCAACAGAATATGAACAGGAGCCTGCACAGGTGAATAAAGATAAAAAGTTATGACAGCCAGCAGTATCTTCTTTTTGATAGGAATACTAGCTTGGTAGATCATGGGAATGTTCTGGGTATCATATATGTTGATTTCAGCAAAGCATTTGATAATTTCTTTCATTATATTGTTAAAATATGCTCTGCTGAAATAAAGGTCTATGATATGTGGCTGATATATGGCAGCTTCTTCAATACTTCCCAAACTTTTGAGTTTCCCCTGTTTTTTGCTTAGCTCCATTGATTGGTGTTAGTCTCTAAAAATGGAGACATTTAGGATTTCTGAAAATAAGTTAATGTTGTATGATGAATGGGATGGTTATTTGTCACTGATGTCAGAAACTTACTTCGTAAGCGTTATCAATATTTCTTAGCCATTAGCAGTTATTGGCAACTAGTAATTTTGGATAATGGCAATCCTAGTGGAGTCATCTAGAACTGGTGTCAAAAGTTTCTGATAGTTATTGACAGCAAGGTATCAATTCTACGTACCAGTAAAAATACCCAGCGTTTACTTACTATTAATAAACAATTACAGACCAGTAATTCAGAGGTTGCAATGAAAGTGAATTTCTCTGGAATGCTTTGTTCTATACAGCTCAGAAGTTGGTATATAATCATTTCCTCTCTTGCTAATTGGATGTGGGCATGTATAGTTGGCCTGAAGAAATATATTGACCTCATAGAAATAGTGATGTTGCTACCTACTTTTATTGATTATTTGTGCTGGGGAGTGACACAAGTCTATGTCTCAACACACACACACATCATGGCAGTCAGAAGATGGGCACATGCCTTCGCCCAGCCCTACTAAGAATGCATTGGCTGGGCAAAGGGGCCAGGCTTCAGGATAAGGAGGCTGCCTTTGATATCCTTGCAGCTGCAGTTCCAATGCACTGGACAGGCCAAGGGCAAAAATAGCAGGTGTACCCTCCCATTGGTCAGCTCGGGAGCGGAGGGAGGGAAAAGGCGGCGAAGCTGGCGATGGAGAGCAACCTTCAGGGCAGGGCAAGGGAAGCTGGCCTCCCATTAGGCGAGCCGTGCATGTGCGGAAGGATGGAGTAAGGAAGAGCGTGCTCCTATTGGCCAGTTAAACGGTGGAGGGAATGAGCGCAAATTCCCATTGGCCGGGAAATAAAGGAACGGCGAGGCGTTCCGTTCGGGGCTTTGCGCCTTCTGAACGGGAAGGTTTTTCTCTCGGCCGCCTCGCCTGGACCGCAAAAGGGCTGCTCGTCGCCGGGTTTTCGTCGTCCGGCCCTGCTCGTGCACGCGCTTGGCGGGAAGGGGGGAGGGAAACGAGCAGGGCTCGCCTGCTTCCATTGGTCGGGCCGCGCACGTGCTCGCGGTGGGCGGGCTTGAACTCTGCGCGAGCCTCCATTGGCCTCGGGTTGCGCGCCCCCGCACGGAGCGCGCTCCTTCCCTCAGCTGTGGGAGGGGTGGGCGCCTGGCTCGCGCCCCGGCGAGCGCATGCCCAGTGCGGATGGGGCAGGCGGCGATGGTGGAGCTAGGCTGATGGCGGCGCAGGAGGCGCTGCGCTGAGGACGCTCCGGGAGCCCGTCCCCATCCCGGCCGCCGCCGCCTCGCCATGGGCAACGAGGCCAGCCTGGAGGGCGGTGGAGCCGAGGGGCAGCTGCCCCCCGGCCCCGCCGCCGGCCCCTCCACGACGCCCGGGGCTGCCAAGCCGCCTTCAGCACCAGGCAGCGGAGGACAGCTCCCTCCGGGCAGGGCTCCAGCCGCCGCACCGGGCCCCGCGCAGCCGCACGGACCCTCCGCCAGGTGGGAAGCGCAGACCGGCTGAGCCGGGCAGGAGGGGAGGGGTCGCTCGAGGGCAACTTGGTCTGTCAGGGCCGAGGAGGAGGAGCAGGGCTGGAGGGAGCGGGGATTAAGGGCGAAGTGCAACTGGGGAACCCTCTGCTGCGGGGTGCCAGGTGGGGCTGGGCACGAGCTGGGAGTGCGAGAGAGGAATGGGGCAGCAGAGGGCAAGGCTCAGCCTCTGGAGACGGCCGAGAGAGATGGGAGGAAAAGATCGGGTGCAACCCGGAGGGGTCGCCAGCTCTTGTGGGGGAAGACTCTGGACATGAGTCCTCTGTCGGAATGAGTGGATGTGGAGAAACAGAAAGATGGTTGGGCCTGGGTGGTAGCTTTGCCATGTGTGCATTATGTTAAGGGAAGCCCCTTGTTTTCAGAGGCACTCTTTCAATCCCAGAGAGTCAAGGCTCCCTAGAGCATATTGATACCTCTTATTTCAGAACGCTGCATACTGATACCTCTTATTTTGGCAATGCTGATCTCTGACCAAGCTCTGTGATATAGTTTTGGTGGTGTCTGAAGTGGAGGAAAGGCTGTGTTGGGTGCCATTTGAGACTCATCTTTTAAAGGCGAGTATGCAGGAATCTGCACATATTTGATGCAGCGAATGAGATCCATCTAGCTGGATGGTGCTGCAAAAGACATCGGATGGAGGACCAGATGGCACATGGGCACATACATGCATAGGATGCAGACACTTCCACAGAGTGCCGTAGTGCAGGCTAGTATCAGGGAGAGGGGAGCAGAGAAACATGAATGGGATGTTGATTACACAGAGGATGGGAAAAGTGACATGCAAAACAGAAGATCATGGTTTGTGGGTAAAGAACTAAGCAAGCACCCTTTTTCAATGTGTGTGTTGTCAAGACTTCTGGCTTAAGTCATCTACAACATCTATAGACAAACAGGTCGCCCTTCTCACACCTAGATCATCTTGGCCAGTTAAATTGCCCTCATGCTTGTTTATAATGATACAATTGATGGTGCTTAAGGCCATTATGTTGAGTACAGTTTATATACCCTGCATGTGGCTGTCCTAATTGCAGACTGTTTGAAATATATAAAAAAGAATAATAGTAGTAGTTATGTAATCTCTACCTCAGTGTACAGAAATAATAGAACAAAAACATCAATGCTCTGTGTAGTTTCTCCTAAAAAGGAAAACAAAACGTGACAGGGTGAGGGTGGAGAGTAGTATAATGATTAGTTATCATGCAGCAGAACACTACATTTAGAAGAAATCTTAAAAAATAACATTTGCTACCAATAAATATAGAACTTTGGTGTTAGAAAGCAGATAAAAATAAAAAGTTAGAGAAAAAATGAGAGTAATCTTTTTAATGTTTTGTAGTAAGATATTGGATATATATGTGTGTATTTGCTAATAGGTACTGAGCCATTTTTGTTGAAAAGCTGAGTAGAATACACTAAGAAGTATATCACCCTTGTTCATATGTTTAAAAAGGGCTTGCGCTGTTAAATGCTCCATTATTACGAGGAGAATGCAATAGTAGATTCTGGAAGAAATCAAATTGCTTGTTTTTCTGTATTAAGGCTATGTTGAAGCAGGAACCTTCTTTATCACCCTTTAATGCCAAAAGGTCCTGCCTGAACTTGGATTTTTCTTATCATTGGATTTTTGTCATGAGTTTGTAGAAGAAATCTATTAAACTATGCTGATTGATGTTCTGTATTGATCCCTTTACATTTTTTAAAGGCAACAATTATCCATCACCTATCTTCAAATTGGTATAGATATGTTTTAATAGTATCTTTAATCCTAAATCTCTTCTGAAAATGTACATAATCTGTTTGTAGAATTGCCATTTGTATGTAGAGGAAATGGTGTCAGAATTGTGATGTGGCAGTTCTTTCCCTCTTGCAGGGTAGCCTTTGCACATTACTCCTCAGCTGAGTTTAGGGGGATGTAGGCAAAGCATTGGTGCATATGCAAGTTGTATATACAGGCATTAGAGTTAATGGGTGTTGAAATAATTAGGCAGAATGAACTTGTGTAAGATTTGGAAGGAGTGTGTGTAGTAGCTAAGCTAGCTAGCTAGCTGTTATGAAAAGGAAGAAGTGTGTTTATGTTGGGACCTGTAGCAGGATTATTTAGTTTCTGTGGCCTGGAAAGTTTCTTTAAGTCTGCAGTTCAGGCTCAATTATGCACCATAAAAGTGTTACTGATGGAGAGCTGAGTGTTTTGAAGCATCTGCGCATTGAGGCTTTTCCGTGACACTCCTGCCATGGTGTGTCGAAGAACAGAACTGGGAAGCTATCCAAGTACTAATACATCTGTGCAAACGTACTAGACACTCTTCCAAACCCAGACAATCAGCACAACCCTGTTCTCTCAAAACAAGCATCCTATCATATCCCTGTCACGACTAATGGATGCTTATTCTGTCAGCCTTATAGTCCTTTGCTTAGGGAATGCGCAGGAGTAATCATGAATATGGGCAGTTTCCAGGGTGGTAGCCATGTTAGTCTGTTGCAGCAAAAACAACAAAGGCTAAGGATGTTAATTAAAAGCACCTTATCCAATATTAGAAATTTCTCTGTGCAAAAAAAAAGGTGTTTGGACCTGACTTCAGTTTTAGAAAGGTTGTTTTGCTTAATGAATAATAGAGCCTATTAGGTCAACTTACTGCACAGTATAATTAAGATTCCACATGTTTACTACCTATAAGTGTTTCAGAAGCAGGTGAGCCAAATCCATATAAAACATAGGAATGGGAAAATATACTATTTCAGATTTATTAATGTTGGGTAATATCCCTGTGGATGGTATCAGTACCAGGCTAGGGCCATAGCTCAGTACTAGAGCACATGCTTTCCATGCCAAAGGTCCCAGGGCTTAATCCAATAAGGGCTGGGAATAAATCTTGTCTGAAAACCCAGAGAATCACTGGCAGCCAGTGTAGCCAATACTAGATAGAGCAGTAGTCTTACTAGGTGCAAGACAGATTCCTATATTACCTCCTATATTGCCAGGTGCATGATGCATCTTGGTGTACCTGTCTGAAGTTTCACACTGGTCCTTGGGTTGAAATCCAGTGTGTATTTACTTGGAGGTACCGGTATTTACTTGGAGTTGCTTGGTCCCTGCTCCTGCCAACTTAGCTGTTTGAAAGCACGTCAAAGTGCAAGTAGATAAATAGGTACTGCTCTGGCGGGAAGGTAAACAGGGTTTCCATGCACTGTTCTGGTTCACCACAAGCGGCTTAGTCATGCTGGCCACAAGAACCGGAAGCTGTACGCCGGCTCCCTCGGCCAATAAAGCGAAATGAGCGCCGCAACCCCAGAGTCGGCCACGACTGGACCTAATGGTCAGGGGTCCCTTTACCTTTAAGCACCATGATTGAACTCAGTAGGACTTACTTCTGAGGAAACTTGCATAGGATTGCACCATAAAGCTTTCAGTTAGGTTCTTTGTGAGTTCAGAATTATACTAATTCTCCCCTTCCAAATATTCAATATGTTTAGAACCATGGATTCAGCTATATCTGTTTCCCTTTTGATAGGACTATAGACCAAGATCTTCTGAACGATTCTCAAATTCAACATCTTAACAAGATATAGCAGCAGTTAATATGGGCCAAAATGTAGCCACATGTAAATATTTATTTATTATTAATCTCCTCCCATGCATGTCTCAAGGTGATGTACAAAATAAAATCAGGGAGCAAGCTAGTCACATACAGTATAAGCCTTTAAAGGTCTTACTGACTTTCTTTTAACTCAAGTGCTTTCCAGATGTTTCCTTTATCTTTTTAGCTGCCTTTACTTTATCTAAAAGGCACCTTGAGTCCCAGTCAGGGAAAAATGTGGAGCCTATATAATAATACTTTTTATCAGTGAAGCTTTCGAAATATATATATTTCCCCACTCTCAGTATACAATCTGAAAAGACACAACACAAAAGGAAAAGGGTTGAGGAGGGAAGAATGATAAGAGGCAAACTCGGGCACCAAATTCTTACTATCACAAGGTTATTATAATAATCAATGCAATGCAAACAGGATGCTCATGGTTCAAAAACAGGCCTTGGCATGCCTCTGATAATAGTCTGGTGACCCAAGTTTCTTAGAAGTGGCTGTAATGCATAACTGGAAGTTGTTTGACCTTACAGGGTGAGGCCTTTACCTTCTGGAAGCTGCAGACTTCTTGTCACTCCTGGTGTAGCAGCTAAGGCTGCTTGTATATCTATCTATCTATCTATCCATCTATCCAAACACACACACACACTTGAGATCTTGATACCACCAGGTCCAGTAGCTTCCTCAATTGTTTCATAATAGGCTAAACATGTCTTTCCCCTGCCTCTTGGCAATGACACTCCCCAGCTTTAGCTGGTGCCATGGAATGGGGGCGTGAGGGCAGATGGCTGGAGGAAGAGAAACACAGAATTCATTGGGCTGAGAGGGAGGGGTTTATGGAAAGGATGAATTGAGGTGGCTGCAAGAGAGATGGAAGTTAAGAACAGTAGGAGCCAAAGGGGGGGAGTGGGAGAAGAGCTGAGTAACAAGCTCCTGTTACAAGCTCCCGGGAATAGGCGGGGAAAGGAGCCAAGGATTGGGATTGTGTGATGGGATTGTGTGGTGCCTATTTAATATTTTGATTTGAATAAACCAGGTTGGTTGCAAATGTCTAGTTAGTATCTAATTCAGGAGTCAAAAATAGTTGATTCATATCACTTCACAATGAAATGGATACAGCACATGTTTGGGTCATAGTCTTGCATGTTTCTGAAATCTCAGTTATAGATCACTTGTAAGACATACAACTGCACTTTATGTATAAAACTCAAGTGTGTCACTGGGATTAAAATGCATTTTCCAGTTTCTTAATGCGTTTTACTGTTAAGCTGTCTTTTCCCACATGATCAAACCTATCATCTCAGTAGCGTTCAGCAGTAATCTTTAACCAAATGCTTTTCTGCCCTCTTTCGTTTTTAGGCATTAGTT